TATTCAAAGCAAGGAGGAGTGTGCAAGGTTTTTATTTTTTTTTTCCTTCTCAGTTAGTTGTATACCTCAGGAGACCTTAACTGAGGAGGATAATACAGGAGGCGTGCTGAAGTAAGCATGTATTATTTCACTCTTATTTGCTATTAAAAGATTAATGCACTGTCATTACAATGGACACTAGAATCTGAATGAGTATTGTTGGTGAATGTCCACCATTTTATGAAAGCAGGTTGCTGTTGGTGACAGCTTTAGTATGAGCCATCTTTGTATGCTTGGAAAGTTTAGGACCTCTGCTTACTTGAGTTATCAGACTAATCCCTGCTACAAATTACACTTTCATTCCTGTTAATGAAAAAAAAAACAAAACGAATCCCCTGGGATATCTCAGTGTTCACATTAAACAAAAGGCATTTTCCTACTCGTCATCTTTATTCTTGAGAAACAATGTGATTCCTATATAGATAATATTTAGATCATTTATTGAGAAGATTGTACATGCAAATGTGCACACTTCAGAGTATCTTTTCTCTGTAATGGCTAATACCATTAAAATCATTTCCCCGTTCCTAAAATTCCTGGAATTTTTTGTTATTCTTCAAAGTGCTGGATTTAGAGATTTACTGAGGCTCATCCACACGCTGTTTTGAGACTTTTTCCACAATTACATTGTTTTCAACAGGAAGCAAGCTTTGAAATAAAAGAAAATCGTTTTCACAGATTAGTGCTGGAGAAAATGATCTACGCTGCAGGTAGCTTATATGGGTATAGAAGGCGTATCAGTGAGAGCAGAATGGTGGTCCAAATTTTGCAGAATCTGACACAGCTAGATTCTTTCATGAGACCTGGAAGAGGCAGATGCAGTCCTTCATGGCTGAGACAACATGTTCTTCAGATGAGATTTTCTCTTTCTTGTGAATGCATCATTGTATGTAGACTCGGGCCATGCTCCTGTGCTGTGAGTAAGGAGGGCATGGGTCTTCAGGGCAGCTCAATCAGACAAGTCCAGCAAGTAGCTGAACCTCTGATCTTCCACAGCTAACTGTGAGTGGTTTCAGCTTAAGCTGCAGCCAGACTAACTTTAGTGGCTGTGATGCACAAAATGCATACAGGCCAGGGTGCTTATGCTCAATTCCTAAACCGTTCATTGGCATCATACAATAACTGTAGTACACACACTTGAAAATAGCTCTGTATTATGTGGTGAAAATTTTGAATGTAGCTCAGGTGGAGTTTGCAAGCTGAATATGTCAAGGGTAGATGGGGGTTAGTGAGCAACATAGGAATAGAGGCTTGGAGAAAACTACATAAAAAGTCAAGGCAGGATATATTTCAGCTTTTCAAAAATGCAAGCAATTTAAAGCATTAGGAAATGAGTCAGGGCATTTGAGGGCATTCATCTTTCCCAGTACAGACCTTAATAACCACTTCAACAGTACTATTTACCTCCTGCATCTTCACTGGCAAGAGCTAATTGCAAGTGTAGTTTCAGAATGAACCACTTGCGTCATTCTGAAAGTCAAGCCAGTCTGACTCTAAGTTATAAGCAGATTGCTGGCTTGGGTGCCCATGTGGTAGCATGGATGCCTATTTTCATTCTATAGTTCTCCAAACAAAATTAGGAAAGAGTTGCTACTTCCTCATCTGAGATGACCTGAAATGCAAGGAGAGGACTTTTTCACCAAAGAGGGGAAGGAAACAGTAACTGTCCAAGAGGAATATCTTCAATAGAAAAAGTGGGTAAAATGTATGAAGGAGATTTGTTGTGGTTTTTTTTTCAAAATGCTCTTCCCAGAAGTCCCAAATGAAAATTGGAAAGTTTTCAGCTCTAATTCTAGCTACATACTTCCACCCTATTTCCCTCCTTTGCATTTCATGGTTGTACGTACACCATTTACCATGTAGGTGTGTTTTCATTGTCATTTAAAAATGTATATAACATGCATGTAAGTTGAAGCCAATCTACTCTACCCAACATGACCACTTATCTGGTAATCACTTTGATTGCTTTCTTCTAAATAAAATTGTAAATTTTTCTGAAAAAGAAACAGAAATATTATCTCTGGAAGCCATTCAAAAGACAGTGCTTTTCTTGGAAAGAAATGTTAACTGTTCGTACAGGTTGATTTTTAAAGGCCATAAAATTTAATTGAGGAAAATTGAGTTTGGTTGGCAAGTCTCAGAAGAAGATGCTCAGGTTTCCTTTGTGGTTTTTTTTTTTGAGGGGTGGGGGGGGGGAGGAGTAGGAGTAGTTTTTTTCAGTTGCCAAAAAAATAGGAAGCTGTTTTCTTATCTTACTGCATAAAGTGGAAAACCAGGGGTCATTTATAGTTGGGCTCAGTAACCTGAGAGCCAAGCTGTGCTTTGCCCTGTTCTGGTCTCTGTGCCATGAAGAGCTACATCAGATGGCACAAAGTGTGCTGAGGGCGGGAAATGTGCTGGCTTACTTGCAGTCTGCATGGGAAAGTATGGCCATTAGAAAAAATGCACAGATAATAAAGCTACTATTGTATAATTTATCCAAAATACTTGCTAAGGTTTCATAGAATCTTAGAGTCATCAAGGTTGGGAAAGACCTCTAAAATCATCCTTAGCACCACATTTGCGTGTTTCTTAAACACCTCTGGGGATGGTGACTCAACACTCTCAGCATCTCATTCCAATGCCTCACCACTCTTTCAAGAAGAATTTTTTCCTGTTATCCACCCTGAACTTCCACTGGTGCAACTTGAGGCCATTCCCACTCATCCTATTGCTAGATTCCCAGGAGAAGAGACTGACCAGCACCTCACTACAACCTCCTTTCAGGGAATTCTGGAGGGCAATAAGATCTCCCTGAGCCTCGTCTTCAAAAAACTGAAAAATCTCACTTTCTCCAGCCACTTCCCATATGACTTGTGTTCCAGTCCCATCACCAACTTCATTACCCTTCTCTGGACGTGATCCAGGCTTCAATGTCTTTCTTGTAGTGAGGAGCCCAAAAGTGAGCACAGTTCTCAAGGTATGGCCTTACCAGAGCTGATTTCAGGAGCTGATCACCTCCCTGCTTCTGCTGGCTGCGCTATTTCTCATATAAGCCAGGATGCCATTGGCCTTCTTGGAGCACTGCTGGCTTATATCTGATCAAGTGTCTATCAGCACCCCAGGTCCTTTTCTTCAGTGCAGTCTTCCTGCTACTCTGTTCTAAACCTGTAGTGTTGCCTGAGGTTGTTGTGACTAAAGAAACTGTGGAACCTGGCACTTGGTCTTGTTGAACATCACCCTACTGGCCTCAGCCCAGGTATCCAGCCTGTCCAGATCCCTCTGTAGCACTTTCCTTACTCTCAGACAAGTCAACACTTCCTCCCAGCTCAGTGCCGTTTGTTTGCTTACTGAGGATGCACTCAATACCATCATCCGTATTGTCAATAAAGATATTAAACAGGACAGGCTCCAGTACCAACCCCAGGAGAACACCACTTGTGACTGGTCACCATCTGGTTTTAGCCCCATCTGCTAGCACTCTCTTGGTCCAGCTCTTCAGCCAGTTCTTTACTCAGCGAAGAGCATACCTGTCCAAGCCATGGACTGTCAGCTTCCCCAGGAGAATACTGGGGGAGACAGTGTCAAAGGCTGTGCTTAAGTCTAGGTAGACTACGTCAGCAGCTTTTCCCTCATCTGCTGTGCTGGTCACCCAGTCATAGGAGATGAGATTCATCAAACAGGACCTCTGTCTTTTGTGATCCCATGCTGTATGGGCCTGATCCTCTGGTTGTCCTACAACTGCCGTGTGATCTCACTCAAGACAATCTGTTCCACAACCTTCCCTGGCACCAAGGTCAAGCTGACAGGCCTGTAGTTTCCTAGGTTGTCCTTATGATCATCTTTGTAGGTGGAAATCACATTAGCAAGCCTTGAATCTTCTGGGATTTCTCTGTTTTACGAGGAATGCTGGTAGTTTGTGGAAAGTGGCTTGAAAGTCACCTCCGCCAGCTCCCTTGAATGAATCCCAACTGGCCCAAAGGACTTCTAGATGGCGTAGAAGGTCTCTGACTGTCTCCACCTGAACCATGGGGGGGGCCTTATTCTGCTTCCCATCCCAGATTTCCACATCAAGGGGTAGAATACTCTAAGGATGACTGGTATCCTTTGCATCAGGAGGTATATTTTCCAGCACAAGAAAGTCTGAGTTGAGTTTCAGGTGTCAGACTGATCAGTACTTTATCAGCACTTGGTAATAAGTCTCCCCTGTTCTTTGATCTCCTTTAGGAAATAAACGAGGATGATTATTGTAGATTCCTGAAGAACAGAATTCAAAGCAGAGAGATATATAATGCTATGACTTATCCAACCTTTCTGAAGTTCTTGAATGAGAGGTCACTTTTCCCTGTTTTTTTCCCCTGCCTCTGAAGATACTTAAGAAATCTCTTTAAGATGTGTGCATGCCCATACAGAGAGTTACAGATGTTAAATGGGATGTAAATAACTGCCAAAGCTGCCAGGAGCAGTTAGTTTGATTAATTGCTTCATTGTTCGTGGTTCATGTATTAAAGAAAGCATGGTATGTAGTTTATCTATAAATCGAAATGTGTAAATCAAGGGCAGGGGGTTTTGTGAGCTTCTTTTGCTGTCTTGATGCTAAGGATCTGTGTGCACAAACTTCATATTAGTTCTGAATGAATTTTGCCTGAATTAATTTGGTACAGCTGTAAATCGGTAAGGTCTTCAAAAGGTCAATGAAGGTTTTGTCAGTGAAAATTTGACTTGTTTTCTGGGATCAGGTATCTTTTGAAGGAGGTAATTCATGGACTTCATTGCAGTCCTCAAGCAGATGCTGGAGAGACCTTCAGGGAGTGGGGTTTAGTTCACCCTATAAGAAGATAATGTTCTTGCTGTAAGTGACACTGGTTGTATGAGGAAGAATAGAAGAATGTAAAAAATGTAAAGCGCCAAACTTGAAAAATGATGCTAGCTGTGAAATGCAGTATCCTGAAATGCTTTCCTTGTCTTGTTTTGCTCAACAGCTTGTCCACCAGGAACATACAAGCCTGACAGTTCACCAGGTGGAATAAGCACTTGTATCTCATGCCCTGATGGGAATCATACTTCTCCACCAGGAAGTACCTCCATTGAGGACTGCGCGTGCCAGGAGGGATACCGTGCTGTAGGACAAACTTGTGAAGGTAAATGTTTCTGGCCATAAATTAAATTTAATTAAACAGTGCAGGGCTGGGACAGTTCCATTATTCCTCTTTGCACTAGAAAGACAAGTAAAACTGCATGCAGACTACCAAGATGCAAGTGGAGATGGAAATGAAAAATACTGCTTTCCTTCAGTAGACTTTTACACTCCAACTGGTGTCATAACTCTGTTGTGGTTGTTTAATTATTTAGTTGTTCACTGCCCTGAATTGAAGCCCCCTGAAAATGGTTACTTTGTCCAGAATGTCTGCAACAATTACTTCAATGCTGCCTGTGGGATCCGATGCAAAGCGGGATTTGATCTCGTGGGAAGCAGTATCCGCCTTTGTCAGCCAAATGGCCAGTGGTCTGGATCAGAGGCTACTTGCAGAGGTATGGATGTGTGCTTGCAAAGCCTTTTCCTGCAAGGTTAGTTTATTCTTAACAGTGGGTTACTGTGCTCATTGCATAGCAGGCTGTGCAGATCTGCGTCTATTATCTCTTAGGTGAATGAATGTTCTAAATGCCAAGTTCCACCCAGTCATTGTGGCATCCTCCTTTCTGCTGGATGTGGGTGCATGATTTTCCTTTAACTGGGAAATTGTCTGAAAAGTGAGGGAAAATCTGCCTTGAGAAATTGTCTTGAGACAATTTCCTTTGGAGTGTTGGAAGGGTATATTTTTGCCTTTCTTGTCTCTCCATTGTCCTGAAGACTTCCCATTAAATACGTTAAGAAATCCTATGTTTACATGTGCTGGATCTGCTTGTCTCCATTCACACAGAGTATAAAGGGGAGTGAGATCAAAGCCACAGTTTATAGCTGTCTTGTTAATCCCAGGAGTACTTTACTGCATAAATTAGGAAAGGACATTGAAGGAAAATCCCTTGGCACTGCTTTGAATTTTGACATTAAACATTCCTCAGTTGCTAGCTAAAATCTGTTCTGCTATTGGAAAGCAGTTAATGCAGTTGTGTTTTGCAATTAACTGAGACCCATGAAAAAAAGCCCTACAAAGTATGTATTTAATCCAGAAAAATATGTTAGGAGAAAACACAGAGCAAGCAGAATATGCTTTTGTTGTTGTTTTCACTGACATTATGGAAATATTTCTTGATCCTGGAAAATGCCTAGTTGACAAGATTAGTTTGCATTTAAGACATGAAACCATGACCAGAATAACATGGGCTCAGCTCCCAGTTTTCACCAGGGGCATATTGAAATACCAAAGAAATGTGGGCATTGAAACACTGAGGAGAGAGGAGCACTGCAGTTACACAGCCTGCAGAAGAGATGACTAGATTTAACAGGTGATGGAAAGGAGTTGGGACCACCTTCCCTATAGGCATTGACATTGTTGACTACCTCCTCAGTGCTCATAAATCATGCCAGCTTCATCAGTAATAACCACAGCTTGGTAGTACTTGTTTCCTCTAGAAAGCCTTCCTTGGAAGCAATGAAAGAGAAAGTATCTTCTGCATAAAGCATGTATGATTCAGCTGTTAAATGTCTTTCTTATTCACTGCAGTGCAGTTAGGATAGCGCTTATTAGAAAGCTGTTCAGAAGCTCTAATTGTCACTAGCAAGATGAAAGTCTTAAGATCTTTTTTTATTCTCTTGAGTGCACTTTGTGGTGAGTGCCTCAGAACATGTGTGTGCATGAGGAGTAATACTTTCAAAGCATGAACAGAAACAGTGGTAACAGAAAGATATGTCAGATGTATGAGTGACTATTTTTTTTCTTTTTTTTTCATATCCAGGGTACCTACATTCTGCTGCACTCAGGTGCCCCTATGGCTTTAACAAAAGACATAATTTCACAGTGTATTTAGTAGTGTTGAGGAGTTTGTAGCTATTACCATTTGTGGTAATTTCATTTTAAAGAGTGCCTGTTCATTAGTTTGAGGGAGTATCGTGCTCTAATCAGTCCACATGCACGTCTGCTTGGAGGCACGTCCTGCCTCAGCAGTGTAAACAGTAAACAACTACTGGGAAGAGGAGAGAAAGTTGCCAAGTTGGCTTACTTTCAATTGCATTTGGAGAGGATTTTGTGGTTTGCCTCCTACCAGGCAGCAGCAAGGATGGTTTTCTTGGTAAAATCTGCATTCCAGTGGGACAGAGATGTCATCCACAGTTCTGAAGTTGTAGATCGTCGGAGCTTATCCACCGCCTGCAAGTCAACAGAGACTGTGGAAACAGTCCTAGGAAAACAGTTTAGGGAGCTGCAGCCTTCTTGACTATATTTTTGAGTGATCACAGTTTGCCCTGTGTATGTTTTACTCTCAGTAAAGACTTTTGAAGATACTGACCAGCACCCATTGGCTTTGGCTGAGAGCACTTTTCAATGATATGTGTTTCCTGTAGGATTTGTGAAATCTTAGGGAAGAGAGGCTTGAATTACTGAGGAAAAAGATGCAGTAGGACCCCAGCAGGTATCTGGGTACATTTCAGCTTGCTGTCACCCTGACATCATGTATATGTCATCATCACATAATCTGTTCAGAAGTGGATCCAAATCCAGGCAGGATGTACGCTGAGAGGGCCACAAGGGAACCAAGTGAGAAGTGTCAGATACTGGCTGAAGAGGAGAAGGGCTGGAGGCAGTGCATAAGAACACAGTTTTATTAGAAGAACTTCAGGTGGTGAAACAAAGGAAATAAATTAAAGCATTACCAGCACTACTGATTTTATTATTATTGTCATCATCATCATCATCATCATCATCATCATCATCATCATCATCATCATCATCATACACCTCTTCAGGGATTAATTTGCAGTGCTACAATGTGTTAAGGTGTAGCACCAGGATTCAGTAACAGAATAAGACAATCTGAGGATCATTTGTCATACCCCACTTCCTCCTCTGCACACATACCCTGCACAGTACAGCCTTCTCCTTGGCATGGTGCTGCTTGCAGTGTTTGAGAGCTGTGGCAGAAGAAAGGAGCAGGGCAGCAGCCAGGGCTGCTCTGCTGGGAGCCCCACACTAGGAGAGGTCTGTTTTGTCTCACCAACAGGCTAGGTTGTGCCTTTTTTTCTCTCATGGTCCTGTTGACCATGAGTGCCTTGTCTTTCTTCTTCCTCTCTCTCTCTTACTGTGAAGCATGTCCACTAGTCTGATGTGTGGACTCTGACACTTATTTGTGCCTGCATCAATAAACTGAGCAATGCCTGAACATATTCCCAAGCCCTGGAATGCAGTCATCTGCCATATTAAGCTCTTAGCCTGTTCTGTGACATATCTTCAGTCCATACTAGACTGCCAGTTAGAAATTTCCCAAACTTTCAGACAATGGCTAAGGAATTAGAAACATCTGAAGACCCAAACTTTTCTATACAATTCCATTTGCATGCAGCCATGTCATCTTGAAGACCTTACTGTCACAAGTTACACAGTGCGAAGTGTCCAAAGGCTGGGAACTTTTCTGAGCACAATTGAAATACTAGCCTTATGTCAGAATTCAGGTCAGTGGTGTCTAGCCTCATATGTGCTAAGACTCTCCTTCAAGAAAAGTAAGGCATTAATCCTTTAAAAAACTTAGCCTTCTTCTAGCCCTATTCTGTAAATCTGTTTCAGCTACTGTAGTAAGTGTATCCAGTACTTGTCTAGTCCCATGAAACCTGAATGGGCTAGAGTTGCTCCCTGGATTCTCAGTGCTGCTGAGTGAAGTGATATTTTTTTTCTGTTTGCAGTTCGAACATGTCCCAAGCTTTGGGCTCCTGAGAATGGACACATTAACTGTTCAACAGCTGATATCTCCTATAAGACAGAATGTTTTGTGACCTGCAATGAAGGCTATAAACTAGAAGGAAATGCCAAACTGACGTGCCAGGGAACCTCACAGTGGGATTCAAAGGAGCCCAAGTGTGTGGGTAGGTATCTCATCACAGTCTGTTCATGTCAGAGTGCGTCCTTTCCTAACATGCTGTCATGAGAAACACTATCAATTTTAGTATCTGATGAGGCCTAGATGATAAGAATGAGAAATAGTTTATGAATACTGGTCATAAAGCTGGGGAAGAGCAAAAGGGTTTTTTGATGGAGTAAGTGGGCAAATTAACATTGAAATTCAGCACAGGCAGTCAGTAACTAAAGATGTTGGATCTGATGGTTCATTGTCCCGTAGTACGTTGTAGGAAACACACATCTTGTAAGCTTATAATACAGATTAAATGTGAACAGAGATTTGAGCTACCCTCTTAAAGCTAGCTAACAATGGTCTTCAACCAAAGACTAAAGTATTTTAGCCAGGCATTGCAAGTTCAAAGTAGAGTTGTGTCTGCTGTCACTTTTGCTTAGCTTATGGCTGGAAATAAGTTAAGAGACATTAGGAACCAAAAACCTCTATTGTGAGATCTCACCAACTGTGCAGCAGTAGTTACGTAAACATATATTGCTGTTCACTATGCTTTCTGTTACATACAGAAATAAAGGTTTGTAGGTTTCACAAGAAGCCATTTGAGACTACTGACAGATACCTAACTCATGTAAACTGATCTGGTGTGGAATAAAGTTAGGGTAGAATACATATCACCTGGCACAGTTAAAATAGTGCCTTTCTGTTCACCTGAGGGCTAAAAAATGTGAACTTTGCATGAGTCAAGAATAAATTTATTAACTGTAGATATGTGTTTGAAAATTATCCGTAAGTATTAATTTGTCAGGAGAGTTCATTAAAAGATCCTAATCTTTCTTCTGAAGTTAGTGGAAAAACGTCAATTAACTTCAAAAGGGAGAGTCCCTGAAATCCTGTTGGAAGATTATAATTGGAAAATTAACTATATTCATCAGCTGAATTCATCCTTCCTAGCTTAGCATTTTGATTATTAAAATCCAGCTCTATCCTGTATCAGATTTCTTCACACCATGCAATTTTACTTCAATCTCTGGATTACCCTTGGCAATGGTTTATTTCTGCTGAGTCTGAAAATCCAGTGTGGAAGTTAGCTTTAGTTGTCCCAGAGGAAAAAGTGTGAGCTGGAAGCAGCTTCTGCCATCAAGCTTGCTGACATTCTGGCCTAGTGCAGACTTGTGGCATTTCATTCTGGGGAGGATACAAATCAATAGACTCAAATTGCATATTCTCCTCAAGAACATCCTTTGTACATCATTTCTAACTACTATTTGTCATTTGCTAGATGAAAGACACCAGAAGTCCTTCATTACTTAAGCGTATGTAATTGATGATTTATCCATTTCCATCTCTTATTTGAAAAATGAAGTGAGATTAAGTTCACTGTCTTATCTTGTAACATACTGCTTGGATCTCACAGTAAGTTGTGGATATTTTTCTGAATGCTCTTCAGTTTGAGTGGACAACACTGCGAAGTTTACTGTATTTTAAAGTTAGATCTGTAAGGCTGCACTACAACCATCTCCATCCGTAACTGCCGCTGTGCCACTGTGTCGTGACATAATCTGGGTTGTAACATAATTGTTTACAGGCACTCCTGTGAGGTCTGTTGTCATATGCTGCTAAGTGGAAGTTAGTGTAAGTTTGGCAATTGTGTGTGTTTTTAATTCAGATATTTTTCATGAAAAATACCATTTGCAAAGAGTTGCTTTTGCGTAGGTTACATTACATTATAAACTGATCAAAACCAAAATATTTGCTAAAAGAGCATGCTTGTTTCTTGTCCAGTTTACAATACATATATATTTCCACAATCATATTCCGGTGTTTCCGTGCCCACTGGTGAAGGATTGATGTCCAGCACATTAAAATCGATGATATTTACAGGATGCTGTTCTCCTTGGTTTGTTCAAACGTTCACGAATAAAGCTAAGAGTGCAGATGGCATCTACAGTGTTGATGCCATCTAGTGTTAAAAAAAATTAGTACTGCATAAGTCTAATGGCATTCAGCTGATTCTTTCCCTGAAATGTGTGTGTAAAGAAATGTGACTTGGTTGGTGGTCTTGTTTTTAGTTACTATGTTGAAGCTCCTCTTATAGTCAGAGAACATCCCAGGTGAGAAATGACCTAAAAAGATTGTATCACTCTGCTTCTCACAGAGCCCAAACCTCCTATGTCAGCTTTATCAAATTGTGTATCTGAGTGCAGATAAAAAAACTTTCTTCTTCCCTAGTAAAAACTACCTTTAAAAGATTCCCTTGGGCTGGATACACCGCAGATTATCTGAACTTTTGACATTTCATTATTTTGCTTTGTGGTGATCTTGCTGGTAGACTTGGAAGCATCTTTATCAGGAGGGTTGTTACCACTTAGCCAGAAAAGAATTTTTTCTATTTCTCATGCCTACACCTTTCACAGCCTTTTTTCTACTTGTTCCCTGGAAGTACCATGCATTGTGAAGTTTTAGTTTGTATTTCCAAAATTGTTTTTCCCTCTTTCTGATTCTTCTGGTATCTGCTATTTGTGAGTGTCCTTCCTGTGTTGACCAGACCAAGGTTAGACTTTTTTTACTGATGGAGTTGATCTACTACATTTTATAGCCAGCAGCATCTGCTTGAAATGAGTGTGTTAACATTTAGAATCTCTTCAGCCTCTTGAAATATCTGTTCCAAAACTGCAGCCTGTTGCAATTATTAATTGCTTAGACCTTAAACAAATTTTCACTATTGGAAATTTTAAGGGCAGGAAATACTTAAAATTCTTTGAGTCTTTAAAATCTGTTTCAAGAAGAACCAGTTCTCAATGACTTGCTGCATATTTTGGAAGAGGAAAGAAAACGGATACTTAGTGTTTTAATGTGAATCACTTCTGTGTCATTAAACCATTGCTAAGAGATGAATAGCACTTTGCCTTCTGTAACTGGTGAGTTGTTCTTTGTATCTGTGTGTAGAGGCTCTTTCTTCAGTAACTAGCAGAAGAGTTACAGTTCTTCTAATTAGCTGTAGTTAATGGATCATTTTCTTTGTGTATTTGCTTGTTAATTGTCCTAAGAAAAATTACTGAAAGTCTGCCTAGCCAAATTAACATGATAAAGCTTTTTGCCCTTTGTTTGTTCATACTGAATGTTTGAAATAGAAATTACATTGTTTGCTTCACATGGTAAAAGCAGCAGCTCAAAAACTGAATGAAGTTTTCGTGAAGTACCTGGTTCTGCAAACTGTATTTTTTGCAAATTTACACTTCAGTGCAAATGTTCTTCAGAATCTGTAATAAATGCTGGTAACAAAGTAGTTCAAAACCTTGATTTTAAGCCTTGAAGTAATCATCAGCCCTTCCTAACTTCCATGGAGGGATAGTCAGCTGCCATTTATAGTCACCTTCAGTCTTTGCATCTGGGTGTACTTAAGACCAAGCCTAGTTTCATTCAATTTGAGGGTGCAGTGGGCAAAATCATATGCCATGTCCCTAATACTAAGTGAGGTCATGGCAGGGTTTCCTTTTCTGCCTCTCGTTTTTATTTCTTGTAAAAGTTGTACAAAAAGGCAACAAATGCAAGCCTGTTACTTCTATCCAGCACTTAAGATCTGGAAAGCAATGGAATGCTTTCAAATGCATTCATGAAAGCTAAAGTTGTTTAAAAAAAAAAAATTGGGAGAGAGTAGAATATAGTGCAGCCACAGGAAAAGCAGTGTTTCTGTCACAGCAAAAAGCATGGGCATGAAGATCATAGAAGCAAAGAATCTTAGAATAGTTTATGCTGGAGAAGACCTTAAAGACCACCTAGATCAACCTGCCTGCAATGGACAGGGATACCTTCCTCTAGACCAGGTTGCCCAGGGTCCCAAGCAATCTGGCCTTGACTGGGGCATCCACAGCTTCCCTGGGCAGCTATGCCAGGGTCTCATCACCCTCTGACTAAAGTGTTTCGTCCTTACATCTAAACTAAATCTCCCCTCTTTTACTTTAAAGCCATTACTGCTTGTCTTATTACTCTACTTCCTGGTAAAGAGTTCCACTCATGCTTTCTTGTAGGCCCTTTCAGGTGTTGAAAGGCCTTGGTGACATCTTCCTGGAGCCTTCTCTTCTCTGGGCTGAACAGCCTCAATTCTCTCAGCCTGTCTTCACGGGACAAGTGATCTGATCATCTCTGTGGCTGTCCTCTGGACTTGCTCTAACAGAACCTGATGTCCAGGGGGCTCATTCAGCACTAAAGTACAAAATTTAAGCATTTTCTGTTGTCTTTATGCACTCACCATGCATGTATACTCTTAAGAAGTCTGTGTATTTTGTATTCCCTCTTAGATACCATATGACTTTATTTACGAATTTGTTTGAATATATATTTTTATGTAAGTCAGTTAAAATGTGTGCCTTTCTGGTCTCTTGTAGAAATGCACTGCCCTGTCTTCCAGAAACCAGCAGGTGTAACAATTCACCCTCCAAAATGTGGGCTGGAGCCAGCTGTTTCTGGGACTATGTGCCAGCTGAGCTGTCCCCGAGGATTCATCTTGTCTGGAGCTAGGGAAGAATTAAGGTGCATTTCATCTGGGAGATGGAGTGCAGACATCCAGGATGCTCTGTGTAAAGGTAGAGACCAGCACAAAGTCGATTCTGTGTATGCATACAGGACTAGAGGAAAGTACATAGGAAACAGATGAGTAAAGACAGATTGGAACTGTGGAAAGCGTAATTAAGCAGTCTGTGAGAAGGATTGTCTGTACCACTATAGTTTGGCTCTCAGGTTTACTTGTAGTATGTAATACTGACATGAAATTCAGAGGTTGCTTGAGTGCTATCTTAGAATTAACCATTGCTGGCAGCTTCTTAAGTCAATTGTTGGGAAGCTGCCTGCAGTGGCCTGATGTGAAGATAAATTTGAACTTTCAAAGTAAAAGTGAAAAGTCTTAGCTTAAAGATAGCCAGTGAGGAACCCACACACCTATTAAAACAGTTATTAGTAATGCTGCTTCTACTGGTTGAGCACAGATGTATGAAAGCCCTGTAGTCTGAGCAGACCTATAAGCCTGAGGTGATACACATGGTGTAGAAGTATGGTTCTTTTCAGTTGGTTCTGAACTGACCACAGCAGTAAACCTGCACAAGGATAACAGCCACGTGAGTCAAAACCAAAACTGATTGACACTGTGCACCATTTATAGGTGAGCAGAAGGTGGTTGTATGCATTTGAAGGATTCTGGTATGTTTGCCCACCTCTTCTGGAAATGTAAGGTTATTTATTCTTTTACATACATGCACAGTGAGTTGGAAGAAATTCAGCTTTGGATTAAAGGAGGTGCAACTGAAAGTGTGGTTGTGCTGGGAGTGTGTTCTTCACTTCTTCATGAACCATTGTGCTCTCAGAATTAATGCTTCCACTCCAAATGGAGGCCCTTACCAGCCTCTGCATGAAAGAACAGTACAGAAAACAGCTATAGCAATCATCATGCCAAGTCAGTACAGAAACTGAGATGGGAACTTTTTCCTCTGCAGTGACCAGGGTGATTTTATCCTTTAAAGATACCATTTCCCACTATGTTATGTACCACATTGTTTTTCTGAATCTAGTAAAAATCTGTGCCAAACCACAGTTTTTAATATTTGATGGGATCCAAGCACAGTGCTACAAGCTAAGTGTTTGGATTAAGATAAAGTAGCATGGCTTGGGTTCAAGCTTTTAGATATTACCATGCATAAAAATCTAAAGAGAATCCAAGATCCTCTGAGTGTTATTCTTCCCTAGTAAAACTGAATATTTGCCTCTCAATTGCTTTCATTTTTGGTATTTTCTCTATTTTGCTGCCAAAATATTTGGCCAGTTCACACTAGCCTTTTCCTTTCTGACTTATTTATTAGTCTTTCTGCAGAGTTTCACTTTTAAATGGAATTTGCCCCAGCCTGAGACTGTGGTCAGGGAAGTGTAATTCATAACTGGTAGTTATGAAAAGAGTGCACTTCTAGTAAAATTTTCATCAAAATGACTTCAGAGGAAGACAAAACCACTTGTATTTATTGCTTTGCACTCAATTACAGAAGTTTAATTGCCTGACTTATGTCTTTACTGGAACTATGTAGTAATAAAAATGTAACTGGTATCAGTCCCAAGTTGTTTTAAAGCCTCCTGGGCATGGATGAGTTCAGAGCCGAATGCCTTTGTCCTTGTCTCATGAGTCCAAAGGCCATTTATCAAAAGATAATACAGCTGAAAAATAACACAACCACAAATGTTTTGAGAGGCCCTATGCCTGCGAGATCAAGAAGTACTTCGTCAGAGAAATGTGATGCCTAAATGATGGTGGTGGTTACCAGTGTTCTACCACTAATACTTTCAAACCATCCAGCATAGTCACATATGTCTCAAGAAAAGCCCATTAATCCTACATTGTAGCTTCCAGAAGGTGTTTGCTAAAGAACGTTCCCAGTAACTGGTGCCAGAAATCTTGTCACTGCTTTTTGCAAGTCACCATGCTCCTGGGCATTTGAGATTGACTGTTTTCTTCTTCATAGTACATATGTCATGTCATAAATAATCTTTTGTAAGTCACTGATGACAGATGTTTCAGATCCACTCCTGCAGCATGTGTCATATATGTGGGCAGCGAAAGGAAAAAAAAGCCACTGCTTCTTAATGACTATATTTGTGTGATGAATAGGTAAATAATAAGAGAAAACAATTAATTCTGTCTTATTTATGTTTTGTTTCATGGTTGCATGTAGTAACCTATCACTGTGCTAAGTGATGTTCAAAAATACAGCCAAAAGCTGTTTTTACCCCAGAATAATTTACTGTCTATGTATGAGTCTGCAGGCAAGAATGAAAAAAAGGGAGAGATGGAGACTTTGCAGAGATGTGTATGTATATTCCAGGAAGTGCCAAAAAAGCAGTACTTATATGCAGTCTAATCGTTATAGTGGTTCTATTTCTTTAATACCATATATAAAAGTAGTTTTCATTTTTCTGGGCCAGATATTGAAGCTCCTCAGATCCAGTGTCCACAAAATATTGAGACTGAGACTCTGGAACATCAGAACTCTGCTAATATCAGCTGGCAGGTCCCAGTACCTGGGGATAACTCTGGAGATGAGGTAGGTTAAAATCTATGCATTTGACCAGATGCTGTCTTTTTATAGCTAGTTATTTCATATTAATTTTCTGAATCACTGGAGTTTATTTCTTCTGACAAGCTTGAGTAGAAGAAAAAGCTGCTGAAAAATTTTATATTGAGAATTCAGCATTTTCTGTCGTTTTTAAGGTCATGCAGTCACAGAACACTCTGCATGGTGTCTAAGCACATGAAATCTCATATATTTAATGTATGTAGTCTAAAGAAAGAATGTGCCCTTGTTTATAAAGCAGAGACAACTGCTTTAAAAATGATCTCTTAGAATGGAAAGAAGTTTAATAAATGCTTCTTAGAAGGAAGTAAATCAGTTCATCAATCTAAAAGGCTAGCAAAAGCAGACTGCAATAAGTAAAAATGTGCTTCAGCTTCCCACCCAAGAAAGAAAAATGTCGTTTTCCTATCCCATGCAATATTCAGACATAGGCCTTTGGGTACTGCGTTTGTCAGAGGTCTGAAAATGTACATTACAAGGAAAATTTGCTCCAGAGCTTTTCATAAGAAGTAGTGTTACCTACTGGGTAATGATCAAATTACAGCAACTGACTGCATTGTCTTGAGTCAGAAGGAGAATGACTGTGTATTCTCTGAATTTGCTGCAAGCATAAAGGAGCTTTTCACGTTGTGAGCAACATCAGTAAAAGAGTTTTAAATTCACACTTTTTGCCGCAACACAGCCTTGATCATACATTATTGCACTGCTGACACAGAGTCATTTGATGACCTGTAGAAATGAGGTGCCTTCACACTCAGCTGTAGCAGATTTGTCAAAGCCACAGTTAAACTATTTTGCTGATGTGAAGCCAGATCTCTCAAAGAGAAGTTTCTTAACACAGCTCTAGTCCATACAAGGGAGCTGTGGTCCACGTGTAGGTGTCATAAACTACAAATGCAGGTTTCTTTTGTGATGATAGGATGTTTCCATATGTCTGTATGTTATTGACATATGTAGATTAAAATTAGGTATTTGAGTGCTCATGATCCACAGCTGCCTTTTCCATACGTTTCTCAAGTATTCTGCCCTTGCAGCTGGAGGTATGAAATGAAGACAAAGCAGTTTTGAGCTAGCATAGCTTGTATGCAGTGTATAGTGCAGACAGAAGTCAGTCTCAGGTTGTTTTAATGCACAGTGCTGTAATGCAGCAGATCGGGGTCCAAATCCTGACTGAGTAAACCCCTGTTGCTAGAAGTAATCTTAAGGAGGGGAAGACAGGCACTCTGTTGCAAAGTCCACCCTCATTATTTGAAGAGGCTACGAGCATCAAATAGGAGCAGAATCAACATTAAAGGATACTATTTTTTGCCTGTTTCTTGAATCACGTGTCATGAATACTAGCCTGTTTCCCCTTTTAAATAACAATTTTCTTCCTATGAAAGGTCTCAGTGCACGTAACTCCAGCTTTCATACCACCATATCTTCTCCCGATTGGTGAAGTTGCCATTACATACAGAGCAGTCGATAAGTCTGGCAATGAGGCAAGCTGTACGTTCAGTGTCAAGGTGATTGGTAAGTTCACTGGGGAAGAAGAGTCAGTTATGGTTGAAATATTCTTATTTTGTGCACAAAGAGACTGTGAATCAGTGTGACCTCCACTGACTGCTTGGATAAACCCAAGGGTAATGTCATCTCCATAAATGCATGGCTGATCTTGGGCCACAGTACACACAGTGTGCAATCATTGCTCCCACGTTTCTTATTTTGTTCTGTTGTTTTATTTGAATGTTAAGAGTCCTCCTTATACTGATAGATTAAATGCTTCTTTGTTATGACTTAACCTTTATCATATGCATCTTTTTCTTTTTCTTCTTGAAAAACTATAAGAATTTACTAATCTCCTGCACACTGCTGATGCACATCATTGTTCATGTCTTTCTACCAGACAGCTTTGGTATTCAGCATTCTTGTTAAACAAGGTTTGCTTTGGAGAAAGCAAACAGAATGTAGAAACCATGAATCCAGATGAAGAATTTTTCTTATGTTAATGCCATGCCATTTGCTTGGTGTCTGCCAGGTGCAGCAGTTATATATAGGTGTACTTCTAACTATATTGTATTTACCGATGCAAATTTAAAACTGCTCTTTAATTGAATTCTGACTGTGGATTTTATGAATGTAGCTGCAGCTCAGCTAGCTAATGTCGTGCAAACTTTTCAAATTCTATAGATGCAGAACCTCCTGTAATTGACAGATGCAGATCTCCACCACCCATACAGGCAGTGGAGAATGAATACCCAGCAACGTGGGAAGAACCACAATTTTCAGACAATTCAGGTAAGATGGCATACCCCCAAACATGCGCAGAACAGTGAAGAGTAGGGAGGTCCAACCTGCTCTACCTTATTCACTTGTAACTTAGGATTTTGTCTTTGTAATAATTTGTTTTTAAGAACGTATAATTAAGAATACGTGCTACTATTTCCTTCTCCATTTGTTGTGATTGAGTGTGAGTGGCCCTTTATAGCTCACTGATGTTTTAATTCTCTGTTTTAATTCTTATTTTAATTCTTCTAGGTGCTCCTCTGACTATCACTAGGAGTCATGAACCTGGAGATCTCTTTCCCAAAGGAGAAACAACAGTTCAATATGTAGCTCTGGATCCTTCTGGCAATAACAGGACATGTGAAATACATGTTGTCATCAAAGGTTTGTATTAGCTTTGTTGCTGCTGCTACAGTTCAACAGCACATAAGCCATGGTGTTTTCAGACCAGGTACATTGTTTTGTTTTAACTGAATGTTACAAAAGTTGCAAGTCTACATCGTTTCTTCATTCAGATATTCCCAGTTTCTTAATTAGATATTCCTGGTTTCTGTTGGAGTAACTTGAGGGCAGTCAGGATGTTTATATAATTTTCTCAGAGTGAAGAAGCACAGTGATGAATTTGGAATAATTTGAATAATACGTTCAAATTAGGTGTAAAAACACTGAAATCGCTGTTTGTTGAGCAGTTAAACTTTTGGTTGTTGATCCTTTTTTTTCTCAGTACAAATATGTTGTGAAATGAATTAGTAGAGGTTACTGAAGTCAAACTTCAAATCTGTTCTTAAAAAGGATAACCTTGTGGAAACATTTTTGTAATCACCTACGAATACTGTAACAGATAATGGAACACTCTAGGTTTTGGAAACCAGCTGTACCTATTCTTATACTCATGCATTTGTGTTGCTTGTATAGACACCACAGTTTCCCTTCTTCTTTAAAGGCAAATCAATAATTTGGTGTATAAAGAATGCAAATTGTACACTGTCTCTGCTCTCTAGTGCCTAATGTCTCAGTTGGTTGTGTGTATAAATAAATGTTAGTGAATATTTAGAATTATGCAAACTGGACTCTTGGTCATAGCTTTGCAAAAGATAAATTACAGATGGATGTACTACAGTCTGACTTGCTTTTGTAAATCTCAGCAAGAAAAAGACAGTTTTTAGAATTCATATTATTTCAGGTCTACACCACTTCAAACTTTTTGTGATTTTGGTGCTCATGAGATCATATTCTCAGATGTTCACTGTGTCTTCTTCTGGCCTGCAAAATAGATCATAACTGAGATTTTATAGTCAGTTCCTCCTAAGATTGTTTTGATAAATCTGTGTCTTGTTGCAGCAGTGTAGAATGGATAATGCTTAGTTTTTGAATTCAATATACAACATAGTTTACTATAATTCATTGTATGAAAATGCATGTAAAAATTTTAACTAATTTTTTGTAGTATTTTAGTAGGTACATACTTGACTGTGCACCTTTGAATAAGAAGTACAGATGGGTTTGAGCCTTGCATTTTGGAGGGTTTATTTGATTTCTTATATGTATCACATTTTTTAAAAAACCTTCACATTTATGGAAGTTTGAGAAGAATTTAGCAGTGCCCTGGTTCTGATTTTCTGGACACAACAAATAACACACAGGCTTCATGTGCAGCTCTCAAAACCCTTACCAGTACTACTTTCCTGTTTGCTTATTTAATTCTCCGAATTCATCGTGTGACTGCATGTTTTCCTTCGTGTCTTTGTATTTTTCTCAGGTTCTCCCTGTGAAATCTCCTTTGAGCCTGTGAATGGCAATTTTACGTGCACATCAGATGAAGTGGGTGTTAATTGTAAGTTGCACTGTGCAGAGGGTTATAGCTTCTCGGAGGGATCAAGTGAAAACTACTATTGTGCATATGAGGATGGTGTCTGGAAGCCACCTTACTCTCCAGAGTGGCCCGACTGCTCTTGTAAGTCTTAATATTTTTAGCTTATGTTTTGTGAAATGAATCTGCAGCTCATCCAACAATGGTCCTAATGAGGAATTAAATAAAAATATTTTAGGAATTATGACTACTGTATATTGATAATAAATCTCTCACATCATTACAAATATGAATACTCAGAAGTCCCTAGAAGTGTTATTTCAGAAGTTCTCTGAAATACAAAAACAGTAGTCAATTTGTATCCTGCTAGCAAGCAAGCTAGCGAAGATGGCAGAGCAGACGAGACCTGTCATTAGTTCAAATTGGCATTTGAAATATGTTGTAGTTTGTGTGCATACACTCAGAGTACTTTTTCAACAATAATTTCAACAATGTTTGAAAATGAAAAGTGCAGATGTATTTGTGAAAGCAGTACATGCTGTAATTACATATCTACTTGTTGCCAGATCAGATCTTTTATCTATTTCCTTCAAGACACACAGTAACAAAGCTATGAGCTATGGACTTTCTCGGACTTAGTGACATTTTAAAAACAGAAGTATGAGAGGTGCTTGAAAAACCAATCCTGGCACCAGCTTACATCTACTCTCATCAGAGTGGATTTTTTGTTTCAGCAAAGAGCAATGTTTCAACTGTGGGCAAATCAGAATTACATTTCAGAGCCATCTAACAGATCAAAACCCATAACTTGGACCTTAAGAATTTCGCTTTGCTTAAATTCTGGGGTTTTTTTGTATTTAGTCTAGCAGCTGTAGTGACTGGATTTCCAATACTTGATTCTCTCTCAATAGAAAGAAGTATGAGGTTTAGGACTGTGACAGCTGGGAAGTTTTTCCATTACTAAAATGCTAAAATAGATACATAACAGGCATTTTTCTTTAATATCCATTAGCCTTCCCATTAAAGTACTGTGAAAATGTGATGTCTGTCAAGAAGTATTTAGTCTACTTTTGTATTTGTCTGAATTGTCTGAGAAATGAATGTTACATAATGTTACATTTTAGGAAAAAATAAACATTTTCTTGTATATAATGCTGGGTGGGGGGAGGTTGATTTAAAGACAGTGCTTCTTAGTTTAGTGTAATCCAATTTTTTGGCTAGTCCTCTGAAACTATTGCACTGACCAACAAAAATTTCACTCTCCAACATTTTTCAGTAAATCGTTTCGCAAACCATGGGTTCAAATCCTTCGAGATGCTTTACAAAGCAACACGATGTGATGACAACAGTCTTCTAAATGGCTTTTCTGATGCTTTCCAGAGTGCACTTGGTAAAATGGTAGGTTAGTAAATGCTGCTTCCTTTTACGTATTTTTTAAAAAGTACAACTTCTTGTTACTTTTCCCAGCTGTCTATTTTTGTACATGAAAAATACAACAGCGGCTTGGAAATGGGATTTGTAATTTTTCGGAAGATGACAAACCTCCTTTAAAAACAAAGCTGACGCACTGACATTTTCATTCCGTCTTCAATTAGAAGTTATTTAGGGACAAGACTTGAAGAAATGTCTGCACAGCTTAGGGACTTGATACTCACAGATTTTTTGTAAGATTTTAAAGAGAACCTATGCAGTTTTGAAAATCCCTGCTGGTTACTCAGAAACTGCAGTGTTGTATGTGAGAGTGAGATGTAATGATAAAATACGTTCATTTTACAAATACTATGTGTAACGTTCATCCAGATAACACAGTGAATGCACAGAGATACAGAGAGATAAAATCTGCATTTGGTGCTCAAGTCTAGGCACTTATATCCAGGGTAGTGATTTAAATACTTTGCTCAAGTTTCTTGAGTTTTTGAGTTCTAATCAATAAGTACTGCACAGCAGTTTATTTGAAGGGATAGCACATTCCTTCTCTGCACTGTCTCTTGCTTCTCACTTCAGTATTACCACTCTCCCTCTTAATCCGTGAGTCTGTCCTCAGCTGTGAAGCAGAAGCAGCAGGCCTTTGTGTTGTGGTCTAAGGAGCTGATGCTTGGGCCCCATGTGATGGTATTGTTGCAGAGCACAGTACTTGGGCAGTTAAAGATTTCTTACAGAACAAAGCCTCTGTGCTGTAAGCTTCTCTGGTAACTGAAAAGCATTATTAGCATATATAGCTACTGAACAGACTACTGCAGCTGTGGTATCCCTGTCAGTGTTTCTCATCAGAAGGCTCAAAGCTCAAATAACACTTCCAGGCAATCTTTGACACTTGGACGTGAATATCTGTTACTCTCTTGACTTACTTCAGCTTTGTTTTCTTCCAGCAGAAAAATCTTGGCTAATTTTATTTCTCTTCTCTTCTCTGAAGAGCTTATTTAGCAACTACCACTAGGTTTCATTGCTTAGACTATTAGTATCAGCAAGCAAATAGGAAAATAGGAAAAAATGTTCAGTGACCAGCTCAGGAAGTTATATCAAAATGCAGCAGTCTTGGAAAAGAGTTGAAAAGGTTAGTTTGATTATGTCTGTTCCTATTCCCAATAACTTTAAAATGTAACTATAACAGAGATAGGAAAAGGGGGACCATATCAGCAGAAGCCATCTTTCCAATGAAAAAGCAATGTGGAGAAAATAAACCGATCCCAAAATAAATCCTAGAGACCAGCTTCTTTGAAATCAATTTAGAAGAAACAAGAAATAGAGGTTTTATAAAATAATGCATTTGTCTGTTCATTTCTAATGTCCACTGCCTTTGTGGAGAGAAAATCTATCAATACTGGTCAGTTTTCTGTAGTTCTCTGTTCTGTGGTTTCTGGGTAGAGCACAATGAAAACTGAACAAGAAAGAGCAGGCCTAAATTACTGCAACTTCCTACCAGCAGAACTCATCAAAACAATAATGGAGAGCTACACTTCTGTCCTGTGAATTGTTCACTTCTCTGGAAATGCTTTTCTTGGTAGTCTGATTCAGGAGAGGCTTTTGCAATCATTTTTAAATAACAGCCTTTATCTTGTAGGGCAGCATGTAGCTGTTGCTGTTCCGGAGTAGGAAATTAAATAAATCACTTGCAGAGATCCAGAACTTGCATCCTCGGCAACTGCTGTGATTATAACAGGTGTGAAAGGAGAAGTCTTGTGCCAGAGAAAGAACAGGGCCAGGGCTTTACGTTATAACACAGCTTTTTTAAGTTGGGGGTGAGCTATGTAATTCTGTATTTTTAATGCTCTTCTCCTTTATGTTGTAAGGTCCCATCGTTCTGTAATGATGTTGATGATATTGACTGCCGACTGGAAGATCAGACACAGAAACATTGCTTGGAGTACAATTACGATTATGAAAATGGATTTGCCATTGGTAACTACTGATTGCACAGATCGTTAGCCATTCAGGATTAATGTTGTGTAGTTCCTTTTGTTCTGAAATACTGCAATGTGTTGCATGGAATGGTTAAAAAATTATAGAGTATTCTTAAGATACTAAGAAATTATGCAACACATTTTACTGTGGAACTGCTTGCTCTCTGTTTTCAGTAGTGCTTCCTGTATAGTACATATGAGAAGGAAGAGTTTACTGAGATGTTTCATGATAGGGAGGAAAAAAAGCATGCACATGCACACATAATGCTGAGTGCTACTGACTTGCTTGGTTACCTTTGAAGAAAGCAACTTTTTTAAACATAACACTTTCAAACCAAAACACTGCAAAAGCACAGCAGATATTTCTAGAGATTGTTAAGAAAACAGAGTCACTTTTTGTCTTTGGTGTTGGTTTCAGTCCACAGTTAACCCTTGCAGTGTTCACGCAAAGCATAAGATTGCCTGTCAGCTGTGAAACCTCTTGTATGCAAAGTGTCATGGGTTTGACAGGGGTAGAGTTAGTTTTCTTTACAGGGGCTTGTATGCTGCCATATTTTTTATAAAAAATAGAGATAACATACAGACTTCTTTACTGAGTGCTTGCACAGAGTGAGGGTCGTTTCAGCTTCTCACTCTGCCCTGCCAGCAAGGACCTGGGGTTCACCAGGAGCTGGGATGGTCATTGCCGTGACAGCTGACCCTGACTGGATAAAGGGATATCCCATACCATATAGCATCATGCTAAGCAGTAAACTGCAGGAGAGGAGAACAGGAGATGGTGTTCAAAGAGATGGTGTTTGCCTTCCCAAGAAACCTGTCTGTGTGATGAGCCTGTAATTGCCTGAATAGCTGCAGTAAATGAATTCCTTGGTTTGCTTTGCTTGTGCATGCAGCTTTATGTAGTAAACTGTCTGGTTCTCAACCCATGAGCTCTTGCACTTTTGCTTGTCCCATTTTCTCTTCATTTCATCCAGAGGAATTGAGTGTACAAGTAGTGCTGAGCTGTTTGCCAGAATTAAACTGTTAGAAAGGGTAGTTTTTTTGAATGTTGGGGTGGAAGTTATGGCAGCCCTAGTGATTACTCCCACTTTGCTATATGCCAAGAAGGTTGTCATTTTCAGTCAGTTTTCATACTGATTAGCATTAGTGTTGTACTGCTTTTGTCCTTGGATTTCTTAGTCCCTTCGTGTTACTTAAAGAAGTAAGGTTAAAAACAGACTTAGCATGGGGCATTTTGGCCCCAACATCAGAACACTTAGTCTTTAATAGGACTCCTTTGTAAGTTCATGTTGGGATTACTTCAGTACAGCTTAGTGCTTATTCTCTCACTTTTAGACATTCTTCACTGAATTTAAAGGACTTTTTTTTTGCAATTAGACACAGGAGACTAGAGGATAGACTAGGGGACATCTGCGAGTTGTCATCAGGGAGGAGTGAATATTGATGATAAGAGGAACTAATTTGTAAAGTCACCTGGAGGAAACAGTGTTGAGAAAATGAGATACAGGGTTCTATTGTCTTCTGGCTCATGTTGATCTCTTTTCAAAATTACCTCATTGCTGTTTTTCTGGAGCTTGTCGTAATATTACACTGGGCAGGCTGGAGAGGAGAACTCTCCTCGAGTTAAAAGAGACAACAGTTTAGAAAATTTGTTATGGAGTAATCACACAGTTTCAGCCCCAGTTCTGTGAGTTTAAATTGCCTTATTTCCACTGTAAGTTATAAGACAGATGACTTAACCTGGTAACTGGCAGAATTTTTTTATGCCTTCACATTATTTCACAGATAGATGAATGAAATAGACTGCGTACCTCTAATTATATTCATGAAAAGGCAGATTACTTACAGAGCAAGCTGATTGAGGGTGAACTTACATCACCATATGTAACAAGAAATGCCTGTCTGGAAGGACTGAACGCATTGGGTGATGTCACCAGCCTTTTCTGAGAAGGCAGATGACTGTACAACTCTTCCAGGAGTTGTGAAGAAGGGATGTTTTGGAGATGCTGCTTTGGGCATGCTAGCTGCATCTGAGCAGGAAGAAGAGAGATCAGTGCAGAATTGTTTCAGGTATTGCCAGCATATGAGGGCCCATGCAAGACTGAGGGGAAGATAACTGTCGTTTTTATGAGTACCTTTTTAAAATAAATTTTATATCAGACCTTCTTTAAGGCTTTGGCTAAATACACAGATATCAGTATTGAGATTTTTTTTCTTCAGTCAGTCACATTGCAGTAGGCACTTGTTCAGAGGCAAGTCAACACATATTGTCCAGAGGTTCAGTCAGGCACCGTTCTATTGAGGATGTACTTCAGAAATAAGTATTTATAGGACAAGCGCTTATTTTCTACATGATCTTGCTTCTCTTTTTTTTCTTTTTAAATGGCTGACAGGACCTGCTGGCTGGGGAGCGGCAAACCAGCTGGATTATTCCTATGATGATTTCTTTGACAGTGTGCAGGAAGAAGGCCTATCCAAGCATCTCTCTGCTTTTGCAAAGGCAGCACCTACTCGAGTCAAAAGGCATAAGAAGCTGAATGTTCCAATGACTGACCACAAAATCAAGTTAATATTTAACATCACAGGTGAGAGAAGTCAAAATAGCCTCCTTCTAAACTTTCTTAAAAAGATAAATATTCCTAATACATTCAGCAAGACTTTGCATTCAATTCAGAATGCCTGCTGGAGATGCAGACAACAGTTTTCTTGAGACACTCGTAGCTTCATTTTCACATTGCCAGCTTTATGCTTCAAACTGTCAAGCCTGAGTGTTGAACTCTAGATATTCTTCAGAGCAAGCTGGAAGTGCTGACTCTAAAATCTGTGTGCTATTGTGTTCTCTTTTTAAATCCCAGCTAGCGTGCCACTGCCTGATGAAAGGAATGATACACTGGAACTGGAAAACCAGAAACGACTTCTTAAAACTCTAGAGACGATAACAAACAGGCTGAATAGGACTCTCAACAAGGAACCCATGTATTCTTTTCAGTTTGCATCTGAACTCATTGTAGCTGACAGCAACTCATTGGAGACAGAGAAGGCTTTCCTTTTCTGCAGACCTGGTTCTGTGCTGAAGGGGAGAATGTGTGGTAAGCCAGAGGACTTCCTCTTCACATATATTTAAAATCTTTTTGAAAAGCAAGGTTTTAGAGGATATTTGCAGAGGATAATGATTTGACACACTCCAGTGCTTGTGGTCTCCCGGAACAATAAACTCCAAAAATGCTTTGCACAGTTTGACTTCCAGAGGATGTTTATGTTCCTAACCAAGGCTTGTGGAAAAGGGATGCTTTTGTACTCAGGATTCCACTCCCATGGGGAAATCAGACATATCCACACAGTTGGTGATACTCAGGAAAGCAGTACTTGATATGCAGTCTTTTAACGTTGTTACTCTTGTGGATGAGATAGGGAACTGGATTCCATTTCCTGTGCATTTTCCCGTTTGCTGAGGAACAGAGTTACATTTCATATAAACAGGGATTGATTAAATGGGAATTCCAGAGGCAAAACAGGAATATATGATTATGTGTTCTGAGGGAACCTTATGTTTCCAACGTTACAGTCAACTGCCCTTTGGGTACCTATTACTCCCTGGAGCATCATGCCTGTGAAAGCTGCTGGACTGGATCCTACCAGGATGAGGAAGGGCAGCTGGAATGCAAAAGTTGTCCATCTGGTAGTTACACTGAGTATCTACACTCCAGGAGCATTTCAGAATGCAAAGGTGAGAACTTTATCTTTTTCAGACAGCCATCTCTGACTGCCTAGTGCCATCCATTTGGTCCTCATTACAGGAATGAGATTAACTTGTGAAACAAGAATTAGTCCTAACTAACCATTCATGTGTATATGTTAAGAGAAAAGGCCACATTTTTACCACTTCTGTAGCATGCACAATGTTCAGGCAGATATTCTAAGAAGAGCTGGCCCTTCTTGTTTTGTTACATTTCTATCTCCTTTCTGTGAGATTTTCAGTTCATTTTGCATGGACTAACACACTTAAAATAATGCCATTCTTGTCCTTGCCCACCTCTCTCTATCCTATGGTGATTTTAGATGAGTTTTTGCATTCCATATTGCAAAGCAGTAGTCTGACTTTGAGCACCTCAGCTCCCCTATCTCTTTGCAGCTTGTTCTGAAAAAAAAGTTAATTTCATTGCCTATTTATTGTTTTATTATTCATTTTGTTCATTAAAAATGAGTAACTGAGTTTCATCATCTGTGATAATCTAAATCATCTGTGAAGATGATTCATTAATAATTCACAAACATCAGTAGCTTAGCACAAGTCCTTTTTTTTTTTGTTGTTGTTCTTTGTATGCATAAAACCCTTCAGCATAAATTCAAGAAATAAGAAGTTTCTGTAATTTGCATTATGATTTCAGCATCTTTTTCAGAGGTTAGAAGTCATGTTTCCTATTTGGACATTACTTATTTTTTATGATTTTTTCTGCCTCACAGCTCAGTGCAAGCAGGGAACATATTCACCTAATGGTCTTGAGACCTGTGAAACATGTCCTCTTGGCACATATCAGCCAGCATTTGGATCCAGGAACTGCATCTCTTGCCCAGAAGATACCTCGACGGTAAAAAGAGGTGCAGTAGATGTCTCAGCTTGTGGAGGTGTGTAACAGATAGGTCTATGAAATTTCTACAGTTACATTTAAAAAAGGGGAAGGAAGCTGCATTGAAAGCTGTCTCTATCAGAAAAGAAATAGAAAGAAATACTTTCAAGATATTTAATAGATCTTTGAGAAGAACTTTTCACCTAATAGTGAAATAAACATCTCTTAGGGTTGTTAATTCCCAGTGGGTTTCACCCCACTCCTTAAAATCTAAAAAGGAACTGTGAGGGAAGGAAAGGAAGTGCTCAGAAAGGGTGCAGGATGCAGGGTCAGCAGAAGTGATCTCTTTCCAAAAAAAATGTCCTTTTTGTTCTTGCAGTACCATGTTCTGCAGGGGAGTTCTCTCGTACAGGTTTGACACCTTGTCACCCTTGTCCCAGAGACTATTATCAGCCAGACCCAGGAAAGTCCTACTGCTTGTCGTGTCCCTTTTATGGAACAACAACAATCATTGGTGCCAGATCCATCACAGATTGTTCAAGTAAGCCAAATTATCTCTCCTGAAAAAAACAAGCAAAGAGAACATCTGAAGGATGGCCAGCAGTAGTCTTAACAGAAAAGATCCTGTTTTTTATTTTTCACTAACTGTCAGAACAAATGTAGAATTCCCACTCAAGGAGTGGTGTTCACTTTTATTTTGGCATGCTGGTGTTGTCTCTGTGCTATGTGGAAGGAATAACTGTGTGTTATGTACCATGGCTCAATAACAGCATATGGATATACAGAGTATGTATGTATGTATGCACATATATACCTGTGCACACTATGTATGTGTGTGTATGTGTACAATGTGTGTTTATATATACTTTTATATATACTATATATGTATATGCAATGGGTGAGCAAATGGCTGATGGGTTAGGCCCAAAGGATTATGGTAAATGGTGTTATATCTGGCTGGTGCCTGGTCACTAGCAAAGATCAGTAGGGCTCCATTTTAGGGCCATTTCTCTTTGATGTCTTCGTAAATGACTTGGATGTGGGAATAGAAGGTGTTTTGAGCAAGTTTGCTGACAATACTGAATTGGGAGCAGCTGTTCACTCCATCAAGGGTGGAGAGACCTTGCAGAGTAATCTAGACAATCTCCAACAGCATGAAGTTTAACGAGAGCAAGTGCTGAATTCTGCACCTGGTAAGGGGTGACTCTGGCATACATACAGTCTGGAGGATGAGACACTGGAGAGCAGCTCCTTGAAGGAGATTTGGGGTTTCTGATAGATAGCAAGTTGGATATTAGTCAGCAGTGTTCCCAGACAGCCAGAAAGATCAACTGTATCCTGGGAGCATCAGGCTTGGCATTGCCAGCTGGTTGAGGGAAGGGATTGTCCTACCCTACACTCCACAGGTGCAACCTCATCTTGAGTACTGTGTGCAGGTTTGAGCATCATAGTACAAAAAGGACATGAAACTATCAGAGAGTGTCCAAAGGCAGGCTACGAAGATGGAGAAGGTTCTGGAGGACAAGAAGTGTGAGGAGTGGCTCATGGCAGCTACAGCTCCTCGCAGGGAGTGGAGAGCAGCGCTGAGCTCTGCTCTCTGACAGTGACAGGGCCTGACAGCATGGAGCTGTATCAGGAGAGGCTTTTGGGGTTAAGGAAAGGCTGTGCCCCAGAGAAATATGGGCATGACATAGCACCCCAGGGCAGTGGGAGCACAGAACCAGAGAATCACCAAGATTAGAAAAGACCTCCAAGATCATCCAGTCCAACCACTGACCAACTTCCCCACTATACCATGTCCCTTAGTATAACACCTAAGTGTTTCTTGAACACTTCCAGGGACAGTGACTCCAGCATCTCCCTGGACAGCCCATTCAGTGCCTGACCACTCTTTAGGAGAACATGTTTTTCCTCATATCCAACATGAACCTTATTGGCACAACTTGAGGCCATTCCCTTTAGTCTTATCTCAGTTACACAAGAGAAGAGGCTGACCCCCACATCGACACTGCCTCCTTTCAGGTTGTAGAGAGCCTTAAGCTGCCAGAGTTCAAGGAATGTTTGGACACTGCTCTCAGGCACTGCATTTGACTTTGGGTAGCCCTGTGTGGAGCCAGAATTTGGACCTGATGCTCCTTGTAGGTCCCTTACAGCTCGGGATATGCTACAATTCTATGATTTTTATGATTCTGTGATACTGTGATATATATACAAAAGAAAGTATGTATGCATATGCACGTATAAATACATGTGACATGTATACTTACATACCTGTATTTTAGAAAACTTACAAATATATATTGTATATATAAATATAAAATGCTACATGCTTGCTGTGAATTTAAGGTTTTATTCCCATAAATTCACTTTTTTCAGACTCTTTAGATGCATTACTAGAATGCAGTTCTGATGCCCTCATAGAATACAGACCTTACGATCTAGTATTATTGACAGTATGTTTGTATCTTTCCCCTTTAGGTTTTGGCTCTACTTTCTCAGCTGCTGAGGAAAGTGTGATGATGATACCAGCCTCTCCAGAAAACATCAGCAAACAGTACAAAGTCAGCAGTCAGGCAAGGACAAGATATCTTTTCTAGTATTGCCTCTAATAAAAGAAGCCACACATCTTATGTCAGTACTAAATTAATAAGTCTTTTTTAAATGTAATTGTTATTCTGACTGTATTTCCTGAAGAGTTGATAGTGATGATTGTTAGGGGTACCTTCAGATCCTCTTTCTGATTGTAAAATCACTTCTGGTGAATAAAAGTGGGCAAATCAGCTCATTGGCAGTCTTAAATGTTGGACTTAAAGACTTCACCTGATGTCTGAGAAATTTATCAGACTTACATAAGAAGTGTAAACTCCATGGAGAGAGTTCAGCCAGTCCATGAAAAGTAAGTTGATTGTACTTGGTCATTTTATGGCTTTCACATGCTGGATTGTAGCAGTTACTACCAGGAACCTAAGTTCAGTTATAAAATCTTTATTTTGCTCATTACCGTACAGATATACTTGAGGAGAGGCAAGCAGAGTTCCCTTCTGCTTTCAGTACTGCTGTTGAAATACAGGCAAGTCCTCATGTAATAGAAACTATTCTACTGACAGTGTGTGTCACAGATGCTGCCTTACCCATCACCCAGTCTGTAACTCAGACAAGGCCGCTTTATATGAATCACAAGTGAAGACCATGTGTTAGAGGAGCAAAGCTGACTGGTGATAAGAAAAGATGTTAAATAATGGTTCCCATTAGGTGACAGACTTATCTGCCATGATTGTGTTTGACCACATAGTCAAGGAATTCTCTGAATTCAGGTTTGTAAGCTGAGAAAAAATAACACCATTCACTGAAGCCCACCAGTAGTTCACTTAATGACCAGTAACAGGAAGTAGGAAGTGATTAGCCTGAGTAAAAGGATGCAAAGCAGAGAACTCTCATAAAAAATACAGCATAGTATAAAATTTCAGCTGTTAATCATAGCTCAGAAAGTTCGAGGGGAGGAGCCATGATGATCATGTTTTGGTAATTAAAAATAGTAATCCGCATTCTTCTCTAGAAATAAGAGTAATTGGTGTGTAGAGGAGACAAAGAGTAGAAGTTAAGTTACAATCGAAGTTCCACACTGATTATAGAGCGTGCTGTTTAGAGTGAGAATATTTTGTTCCACATTTACTGTACTTGTATTGTTATTACCTGTGGCAGGTGTTTCATGAATGTTTCCTGGAGCCATGCCACAACAATGGGACGTGCAAACAGTTGGGAAGTGGATATATTTGCATATGCCCAATTGGATATACAGGTAAAAAATTAGGGAAGCAAAGGGAAAAGCTAAGATGGCTCCAGGTCTTTAACATGAGCAAAGATAAAGGAGCAGAACGTTTCAGTGCAAGAGTGTAGGCTAACTATAGTGGAATAAGTGGAATGTCTGTCATAGATTTATAACACAGAAGTATTAAAAGAGAAGAAATAGTTCCTCATGTTCTTGCTGAATTATATGATGTTTGTCAAAAGGGAATTACGAGTGGGATTTCTTTAAGTGGTTTTAATAAAAAATTCCATGGAATTCAGTATGAGTGGATTGAGCAAAGCTTTGTGGATTTGAAAGTTCTTTGCTTAGTGATATTTATGATTAGCAAAACCTTTAGTTTGCACTGGAAACAGCTAATTCCACCAGATATTCTCTTTCTTCTTCCTGTAAACTTGATGGTTGCTCCAGAGCAAACAGATAACTTGTTATCAAAAAGTTCTTGATCTGTTAGTTGTGATAGAATATTAACTGTTACCATCTGGAACTGATCAGACTGTTGTCTCATATTCTTCATATTTTTTTTGTCTCAGCTTTTTGTCTCAGGTCAGTGTTACAATACAACCTAAGAAAAGATAACTAGAACATCTACTAATGTCCACAGTTGATAATCGTATTTTGCTGCATTAAGTAATTGTAACTTCTGTAGTTTTTGAATGATTTCCTGTTTTGTTTCCATGTTCTCAATCCTTTATTTTGCATTGTAGGCTTGAAATGTGAAACAGAAATGGATGAATGTAAATCCTCTCCTTGTCACAATAATGGAGTGTGTAAAGATGGCATTGGGACCTTTGTTTGTCATTGCAAGCCAGGCTATTCTGGTAATTTAATTGTTTCTTCTTCAGAAACGTATTATTTCTGTGCTAGGTAGATAATGCAGAACAACAGGGCAGTGCTAAATAAAACCGTAACAGGAAACCAGACAGATATATAGGCCAGAAGAAAGTTGTACTGTACATGAGTAGCTTCTGAAATAAAAAGGACAGTCACTCTGAGAGCATGTGCTTCTGTTTGTGATATTTTCTGAAGATGAAAAAAGGAAATAAAGAGTGAAGATGAGGAAATTAGTAAATAAGCACAGGGAAGATGTTTGTGAAGTTGAATATGGCTTGATCAGACAAAGCATTTATGTAGTTGCATTACTGTCGCCCTGAGTTAATGAATAGCTTTTCTCTTATCTTGTTCCTCAGTCTTTTTAACTGCCACCTGCATGCATGTCAAAGATGTTGAAATATGTGGGAAACTAACATGCTTCAGTACTTTGCCAAAGTACTTAATTTCTAAAGATAAAAGTAAGCTGTTAGAGTATATCATTTGGCAGCAGATTAAAAGGAAGACCTGGTGTTTTCCACCAGGAAGTGGACTCCCTTGTTCAGTTTATGGCCACGCGTATATTGACAGCAACACTTGCTGAGTATTTTTAAAACTTTATAAAGACAAGCCGTGGTCTTGGCATGTTCCACATCTCATCAGCTGAGTAATACAAATGATCTGTTTCAAATGTTTTTAACAGTGCAGTCAAACATGGAGTTTTATCACTTGATTTCATCAGGCCTTTGTTATCCAAGAATTGCAGTGCAGTTCTGCCCTCAGTATTTGAACACCACATCATGTAAACCCAGACTGTGTTGATTGTGCCCTTTTGCTATTTGAAGGTCTCTTGTGTGAGAAAGATATAAATGAATGTAACTCCAGTCCATGTTTGAATGGAGGTCACTGTGTCGACGAGAAGAATGGTTACCAGTGCACTTGTGCAAAAGGATTCACAGGTACACTATTTCTTGTGAGCCAGATTTCTTTCTTTCTAATGCAAAAAGATGTCTTCCTTCCCTAACCAAAGTATTTCAGTCTCACTGCTATGTGTTACGTATGTGGTGTGTTGATTTGGTATGCTAGCTTCTGCAGGTTCATGTAGTCTCTGAGAGTCCCTGTAGTGCTACACTGTGGCTTCAGAAGACCAACTTGGTGATTGGTCTTCTATTCCAGATCTTGCCAATAACTTCCTGTGTGTTGAGGAAAGAACAATGCAATTCCAATTGATTGAATTAATTTGTTAAGAAAAAGTAAAATCACATGCGGTTTCTTTATTCGTCAGATCTTGTAACACAGATTCTGTATTTCAACAGAAATCCTCAATTTGACAAGGTACAAAATGTCACTTTTTTCACTTTTCACATTTTCCTATTATATTTAAGGTTCAAACTTAATGTCTTTTGTAGCAGCCTTCCATCAGTTGATCAAATTAGTTACTCTGATTATTTCCTGATTCAGCCCAAATTACTCATACAGCAGGCAATGTCCATTTAGATTCCTGACGTAAACGTTAATTTCTACAATTACAAAGATGCTTCCTGTAACATTTCTCTGCCCAGTTTACCTCAGATGGCGGAGTAAATACCAGTCCTGCCACTCCAGTATTTGCTGTTTTCTGGAAAGTAGGCAACAGTTCTTGGAAACCAGCAATGGCTTGGTGACCTTATTTCAGCTTAAATAAAAATGCAGCTGAAGCTTTGTTCTTTTCTTTCTAGGTGCTCACTGTGAATCAGAGGTCAACGAGTGCCTTTCAAACCCATGTCTTAACAGAGCTCTTTGTGAAGATCGAGTTGGAGGTTTCTCCTGCAAGTGCCTCCCAGGTTTTACTGGTGTCTTGTGTGAAAGAAACATTGATGAGTGTCTCAGCAGACCCTGTAGGAATGGGGCTACATGCAGGGATGGTATCAACAGCTTCAGGTGAAAATTAAATGATATAAAACAGTGTGGAAAGTCAGGTCTGTTGTGGTGCTTCACGTGTCTTAGGTTTCAGTGGGGTGACTTTATGCACACTAACAAAGATTTTAAAAGCAAAGAAGATAAATCCTAGTGTCTCCACCTTTTATTCCAAGGTAGACAACAAAGAAAATATGCAGAGCTTGATGTATAAAAATGCTAGGATTGTAAAGTGGTTGAGTGAGAGGTTTATTGTGGTTTAATCCCCACTGGCAGCTAAGCCCAACACAGCTGCTGTCTCACTCTCTCTCAGTTGCTTAGGGAAGAGAATCCGGAAGGAAGCAGTGTGAAAACTTGTGGTTTAGAGTAAAGACATTTTGATAGGTAAGGCAAAAGATATTCAAGCAAGCAGTGCAATGTAAAGAATTCATTCACTGCTTCCCATAGACAGGCAGATGTTCAGCCATTTCCAGAAAAAGTAGAGCTTTGTCCTATGATAGTTTATTGAAAATACAAACAATGTAACTCTGTAACACTCCTATGCTTCCTCTTTCTTTATCCCAGCTTTATTTCTGAGTGTGATGTTATAGATATAGGATATCCCTTTGGTCAGTTTTGGTCAGCTGTCTTGGCTGTGTCCCCTCTGAAATTATTCTGCTGGCAGGGTAGAATGAGAAGCAGAGAAGTTTTGACTCTGTTCAAACACTGGTCTGCAGTCACTAAAGCTATTTTCATAACAACCCAAAACACGTCACCGTACAAGTTAATGCAAGGAGGTTAACTCTATCCCAGATAAAACCAGGACATATTTAAATACTCTTACTCCAAAATAATTACACTTTTCTCAAATCTCAAGTGCTTGCTTTCTTCTGGAGTAACTGATGGTAGCACACGTATCTGATAATGCTACTTTTCTGAAGCCTACATGACACTTGAGAGAATAAAAAGGTTAAAATACACTATTGGAATCTTTCAAATTCTTATTTTTGCTCTAGTGTATCTGAACTCAGGTCTGTTATGAACACTGGTAAGAATGTCCTGTTGCAGATCACAGTGAAGAGAAAATCAGCTACTATTGTCTGTCTTTAACAAGCCTTTCCTTCCCCAAAGCCCCAGAAGTTTTTGGGTTTTTTGGATATCTTGTTTTTCCTCAGAGTACTTCTCTTCCTGCAACGTCAGGTACCTCTGTTCAGTAATTCTCTAGACTTGAGAAGGTATGCTTCACTCATAGGAATCCAACAATAAAGTCTCTTGGTTTCATGGAAGAAATGCAGACATTGGATTTAAATATCATATTATCCCTGTTAAGAACTAAAATGCTGCAGCCCTATCAGCTGATAGCATGCAAGCATACTTAAAATGAACGAACAAAATAAAACTGCATTTACTGTGTAGTATACATTCTGCTCATTTTTCAGTATATGGCCTCTCTATTTGCGGATCTGATGTCTTGGAATTTTTTTACAGCAACCACATTTAAAGTGTGTTCTCTTTTCCTCCATAGGTGTCTGTGTGTGACAGGGTACACAGGACTCAACTGTGAAGTGAACATCAATGACTGTGCCTCCAGCCCCTGCTTAAACCATGCCACCTGTGTGGATGCCCTGAACTCGTACGTTTGTAAATGTCCTCCTGGCTTTACAGGCAGCAGGTGTGAAACAGGTATACAGGAATAAGTGTCAGAAAAAGGTGGCTTGACTGAATCTCTGGGTAGAATTTGCACTTGCTGAGCTGATTGCATACCACTTCCTCAGAAAGCAGATGGTAGAACTCAGAAAGGCTGAGTGAAGCTTCTGTGACTGCAGCATTAATGCATATAGTTGCAAACAAGTAACACCATATGTGCTAACTCATGTCTGCATGCATTTCTTTTCTAAAGTTCAGGTATAATTTTAAGACCCTTTATGTCTATCAAGTGAAATTTGTATGTACTCTGTGTATTTGAGTTAATTAGCTCTTTGTTTTTCTTCAGTTTCTTGCAGGACTTTGCATTATAGAGGTAGTGATGAGGGCCCAGTAGTCTCAGCTTTAAAAGTACGAAGGGTATCAACTTTCCTGCAGTCAGCTAAATTGTATCACATTTGATGCAATTCCCAAAGTAATGGTGGAGTTACACCACATAACCATGACACTCAACTCCATTTGTCTTTTAGCCAAATCATGGAAGTCGTACTGTTTTACTAGTAGTTGGTGAATCTTTTAACAGCAGTTGAGAAATCATGTCGATATTGCAAAGATAGCAGAGAGCATACAGGTCTTTTAGACCACGTTCCGTATCTGAGTTAAGTAACACCTAGCTTTCAGGAGAGCTCCAGATGGTACATTTGCATGTAATATTCTGATAATGGATGCCACTTTGCTTTATGTACAGCGCAGGAGCATTCTAAACCAGTGCAGTGTATTGCAGTTCAGGAGAAAAAAAACCCACTTTTTGTTCATTTGCTGCTTTTTGTATATTGACCCCTGTGCATGAAATGGCACAGGCTGATCACACCTTTTTGGGTTGTAGGATGGCAAATGGCTCTGTCAGTTCATTGTTAGGAGACTGAAAAGATATCCAGTGCTGTGCAAGGTCCTTGTTCATTCTTTGTTAGATTATCAGCTGCATTTTCAGTTGTAAAAGAAAGCGCTGTATGCTGGCTGATGCTTGACTGTTGTACGTTCTTTTTCGCTCTTATAAACAAGGGAATAGCTTTTGTAGATGGGTTCTGTTCCATTTTCTTACATTTGATTGGAATCCATTCAGTATTGTTTCTGGGTTTTCTGGAATGTAGCTCTGAAAACTCTTTGTTGCAGAACAGTCCTCTGGTTTCAATCTTGATTTTGAAGTCTCTGGTATCTATGGGTACGTTATGCTTGATGGCGTTCTTCCGTCGCTTGGTGACATCACATGTACATTCTGGATGAAATCCACTGACACCACCAACTACGGAACTCCTATTTCTTATGCAGTGGAAAATGGAAGTGATAATGCATTTCTTCTGACCGACTACAATGGGTAAACCACTATTCTGCTTTTCTTAGCTTTCAACATGTCTTGAATTGATAAAGAAAACATAGCCAGCATAGACTTTAATCTCAGCTTTGTCTTTTTTGGGATAGGAAAACTGCATGCAAACTTTACCTGGAATTGCCCCATTGTTTTGTTTATTCACTGTTTCGTTTCCTGCGTTTCTTGCTAAGTATAAGAGTAATGACAAGAAAATAGCGAAGTTTAAGAAGCAGAATTTTTTTGTCTGGAACTAATTTTACATTATTTAAATGACACCTTGAAACAGCGATTGTAAAAAATCAAAGCTCAGCACTCAGGATGTGATGCCAAAGGCAAAAGAGGATTCAAGTGAAAACTTTAGGAAAGCACCGTGCAGCCAAAACTTGAATCAACATGTTTTAGTACAGGAACACATTACATATTTCAGTGAAATATGCATATCATAGTAGTTCTCTTAGGAGGTACAAATACTTCTGGAGAGATTTCTTGTATGACGCAGATGCATTTAGCAAATAGCATTTCTTTGAGTCGTGTGGGACTGGCCATGTTCTTCAAGTTGCTGCATGCAATTGAGTCTGCTTTCATCTTCCTTCTACACAGTTGGGTTCTGTATGTAAATGGAAAAGAGAGAATCACAGACTGTCCTTCAGTGAATGATGGTAATTGGCATCACATTGCGGTCACATGGACATGCATGGATGGGGCATGGAGAGTGTACATTGATGGGAAGCTATCTGATGGAGGCAGCGGGCTCTCTGTTGGCTCAAAAATCCCTGGTATGCTTTGTTTGTGTTACCTCAGAGCTGTTGCCTAATTTTTGTTTTTCCTGCAGAATTTTCTGTACCTGCAAAGAAATGATAATCTTCGTGTTTTAGCATGTTTCCAACATTTAGGCAAGGATCTCCTTTGCACTTCTTGTTCATTGAGATTGTTCTTTCAGTCTTACTGATGACCAAGTACACATTTCTGTGCTGAAGTAGACAGCTTCTTTTGAGGCTGGCACAGTTTAGTCCACAAAGGAGCCCATGTTGAGCAGCTTTTGGAATGGCTTTGAGAGAATATGTTTCCCACTCAAGAACCTTAAGTATACTGACATTTCCTGTAGAAATCTGTGCTGAAAGTTCATCAGATTATCCTTCTGCTGTTTGTTACTCTCCGATGTCTTCCTAAAGCTATGTTTGCATTCCATTCTATCAAGATGGATTTTGCTATGTCATTATTTTCTGTGGTCAGTAGTCTTTCTGGTAATATCAGAAGAATGGAGAAGGAATAACTTTGGCATCTAATTGCTGTGAATGGCTTGACGTTAAACTGCTGCAAAGAGATTTGGTTTTGCTAGTGTTTTCATACCACTACCTTCAGGATTTACAAACTTTTGAAAAGCTCCCATACCAAAAGAAAAAAGAAAAAGAAAAAAAAAAAAAAAGCAGCGTGTTAGTCTGTGCATCCTGTGGTTTTCCATCTACTTTGCAGTAACATAGTTATCTCCAGAGGTAAGACCCAAAACTTGTACGCTCCATTACTCTTTGGTCTGCACTCTGCTGTGGCTTACATAATGCACATCCATATAATCTATGTGAGAAAATTTAATTTACGTAGCATGCTGGAATGTTGATTCTGTTCTAATAATCTGTGTGCTTCTCAGGGTTTGGATTCAAATTTAATCTAAGTTTTCCTGAAAGCAGGAAGTGCAAACTGGCACAGTGAAATATGCCCCTCCTGCTCAAAACTGTGTTTTGCATTGCACTGTAATATATCTCACAGTAAGTGCTGGCTAGAAACTCTGTCCTAGAGCCAACACTGTAAAAGTGCTAATAATATGGGGTAGCAAAATTTTGCTTTACTGTTCATTCTTCCTGTGGGGATTGCTGCTTTAAGATATTGTTTCCTGTCCCTGTTCTAATCTTCTCCGAGATTAGGTGGTGGTGCACTTGTGCTGGGACAAGAGCAAGATCAGAAAGGAGAGGGATTCAATCCAGCTGAATCTTTTGTTGGTTCCATAAGTCAGCTCAATATCTGGGACCGTGTCCTGTCTCCACAGCAGGTGAGACCTTATTGTAGTGTTTGGGCATAATCATCAAAGCACAGGATGGATCTTTGAAAAAGCGTTCAAGGATCTGGTCTCTGGGATCTAATGAAGTTCTGTCTTAGTGTAATAAGCTTAGAGAAGCAAGTAGGGCACCTTTAAGAATAGGTAGAGTAAAAACAACACTGAAGTAACTTTTTGTTTTGACTGAGCTTTTCTGCACTAAGTTGCTTTGAAGGAGAAGCCGTTTACAGAAGCAAGCAACCTGTTGGCAGAGAGAGAAAACCCAGTGAAATGATATCAGAACTTGTTTTATCAGTTCCAGTTCCTTCGTCCTGCTATATAAAGCCACATTAAATTTGACATGGGAGGCATCATAATTTCAGTTCATGCATTAGATGCAGTGAAAAATCTTTGAGCTTTGTAGTCCCAGGAAAAGTCTATGTGATCAGTAGGACTGAATATTAGGCTGCATTTACTCAGGCACCAAAATATAGATTTGGCACTAAACTTCCACAGAGTTAAAAAATCACAGTGGATCAAAATATGTCTCCAAGGGCAGCGATCTCATAGACTCTAAGAGGAGCAAGTTTCAGTGCTTGGTTATCCATGAAGTGAATACTTTTTCTTGAAATCTAACTGCAAAACCTCACAATTCTTCAGTTTGTAGCTGCTCTTTCACTGTGGTATGTTCACTGTGATATATTAAGTACTGATGCATGGGGATAATTGCTCTCTTGATTTTCTGGCTGTCGACCTGTTCACACAGCAGGGATACTGTTATCTCTGTTATGGTGAGTTAGTGGTGTTTGGTACCCAAAGGTCAGACAGGAATTATGAATCACTTGGTAACACTTGAGTATCAAAGACTAAATTCAAAGTCAGAGAGGGGGAAGGGGCTCTTCTCTTGATGTAATTTTAACAGTTGTATCATTATTTGATGGTTTATCACTCTGTTGTGCCCATGATCCAAAATAATGAAATGAGCATGAAATAAAAAAGAATTTAAGCCAAATCTTTGCTTCACTGTTTCTTTGTCCTTTTCTTTACTACTTTTGCTTTCTGCTGTGTTCAGAACTAATCTGCTGCTATTCTTGGCCTTTGAGATCTCCAGGTAATGCACTGACAAGTCATATCTTCAGGGTTTTTTGCACTTAGCAGTTAGGAAGCTAATGAGTATATGTATGATTATACAAGACACGCTGGTGAAGAGTTTAAGTGGGATTTTTTGAGTCTTTCTCAGTGTCCACCTCTCTTCAATGCTATTGACAGGGTGGATAAAATTCTAATTTACTTCAAATGCAGTGTAAATACAATGAAGAAGAAAGTCCTGCCTATCATTTGTAGTAATATCTGTATTACTTATATGAAAAGATGTGAAACTTGACTGGGAATTAAGCCAAATAATCTTCCTTTAAAGTTTTTACCTCATTCATTATAAAACTTGTGATACGAGATCTCTACCATTATCTCTGCTATAACCAGTTTTGCACTAGCCAGCTAGAGCTATTCAGCAAGTCTTACTGTCTTATTCATTGCCATATAGGAAAGTGGGGTGACATGGATATGTTGTGCTGTGAATAACAGAAAGGCTAAATCTGTTCTTTAAGATTTTTCTTTGTATGCTTTAGTTGCTTATCTGCATGCACTTTTATTTTGCATGGACTCATTCTTTTGTTGCTGAATAGCAGCAGAAATATCTTTATATATCTTCATATGATTGGGGTTCCTTCCTGTCCAGCATTCTCCTCCATATGACTTTGAAGGGCTGATCCCACATCTGTTTGGTCCACACTGGAAAAATCTTACTGCAAATTCCTGGCAGATGCTTTGCAGCCCTTGTCCTTAGCTGTTTCCATCAGTGCAGACTGTTGAAGTGAGATACTTGAAATGGGCTTTGTTCTAATAGTCCAGGTAACAGTCTTCTCCAGTCTTCTCCAGTCAGAAGAACTGACTGGAGTTCAGGGCAGGAGTAATGTGAGAAAAATTCAGTATGAGGTTCGTGACACACCTTCCCTTCTCACAAAAACAAGCAGTATAATACACTGTTTCATCCTCTCAAGACTGGACAGAAGCCAGCAGGCCTTCTGACAAAGGCAGTTAATCCAGCTGCTGACTGGGAACTGGGCACACCTGGGGTTTCAGGGCTGGCTGTGCCCTAAAACTACGCCTGTGGGTTAGGTGGCAGTGCTGACATGTACCCAGGCCAATGGGCTGCTCATCTTGGCTCTTGTTAAATCATTTTTTCATGGTGCCAAAGAAAACATTTGTTTCTCACTGATGGAGAATTACTGGAATAACCCAGCAGCGCAGCAGAGACAAGGAATAGGAAGTAGTCTCAGTAGCCTAATTACTAACATGCTCTCTTAATTGAATAATCATCTTTTCAGATCTTCACTCTTTAATATCTTAAAAGAACAGGAAATCCTTCATTATCCTTCTACTGCATATTTGACCTCCTCAGGGCTTGTATGGGTTTTTTTCAGCAGTTCTGTGGCTAACATATTATTACTTCTGCCCTGGTAGGGAGAAAGGTAGTGGATAGTTGTGTGGCAATAATGCAATTTAATCCCAGTCGCACTCTGGAACTATCTTTCCTTTTTTCTCTTGGACTTACAGTGAGCAAAAATAATGCAGAGGGAATTCAAAGCCCATGTTTTTCGCTGGCACTTTCTTGAGGAATGATTTCTTATATTTTGCTTGCATGACAAGTACTCCTTTAGATATTAACTCTGCACATGCCTATCCACACTAGCTGGCTCATAAGTACAGAATAACAATTAATTCTTGTGCTAGGAGAGAATAACATGACTCATTCAATGACTAGTTCTAATATTGCATGCTGACATGGAAGATTTTTCTTTAATAATATTCTTCTTTTACGTGTTCCTTAAACATCACCTAATCAACTGTTTTAAATCCATAGGTAAAATCTCTGGCTACATCCTGTCCAGAAGAACTCCAAAAAGGAAATGTGCTAGCCTGGCCAGATTTCCTTCCAGGAGTTGTGGGAAGAGTGAAGATAGATTACAAGAGTGTATTTTGTGCTGGTTAGATCTTTGTTTTCTAGAATCTTTCTTTTCTGGACAATGTTGTAAGACTTATGTTATGAGGTTAAATATGCTAGTTTGCAGCCTGTGTCCTACAAACCATGAATAAATTATTTTGATAACTTAACTGTTGGAACATTCAGTCCTTCATTCCTCAAATTCCACAGTTTTGTAACAAAAGTTCATTGGAATCTCTGACAAAGATTTATTACTTCCTGAATTGAAATGAGAAAGAGTGAAAATGGTGATTGGTCAGGAGGAGGTTTTCTTTGTCTTTTCTTATAAAAGTAATTGCACATTATTAAAATACCTTCTGTCTTCTCACCTCTTTTCCTACATATTCTTTTCCTTGTGTTGTATTTTGATGATTCTCAAAACTATTTGAATCCAAGTAGGATGTAGCTTAGCATAATGCTTCTCAATCTTTCTTCTGGATAAACTTACACAGGATCAAGCAGTCAGTTAAGAAATGTATTCCTGACAACACATAAATATATATATCTCTTACTGTATGCATGCATTTTGTCCACAGATTGTCCATCTTTGCAAGGATCTGTACCACATCTGCGTGCCTCTTCATCTGATTTAAAGCCAGGGTCAAAAGTCAGCCTTTCCTGTGACCCAGGCTTCCAGATAGTGGGAAACTCTGTTCAGCACTGCCTTAACATGGGACAGTGGACGCGACCCTTTCCACGCTGTGAAAGTGAGTTGTCTCAGTGGGGTGGCAGGATTAGGAAAGCTAGACTTCTATTTGGGCCCTAATGCTATTTATGGTCTCTTTATCCCTGCAACTATGATGTGGTTGAATCCATCCATGTTACAGCATATACAAACGTGCTTAAAGTTAAACTCAAGTTTTACTGGGCAGGAAGTACACTGTGATCTGATTCTGACACTTTTTTAGTCAGTTTCTAATGACTGTGGCAGAGATGAGTCCATTTGGATCAGCAGATATTCTGAGCTTTCCTTCCCCTTGCACCAGGAATGTGGGAGATGCACAGGAAATAGTTGAGTCTGTGAGTTTCAAGTGTCACTGAGAATGTTTAGTTTGAAATAAAATCCTTTGTGTTAGTGTATTCTGGAGTAGTTTCTTTTAAAGACAACAAATACTTCTGCCAGGACTTAGAAGACATTTCTAGAAGACACTTTTGGAATTTTTTCTAGGAAACTAGGCTGAATACATACTCCTACCTTCTCCTTTTCTTTTGTCTGCTCTGCTATGACTGCACATGGGACTGCAGTTGCATACGGTGGAGCTGACAGTATTTCTCTTCTCAACAGTACAGTAAATTAGCTCCAGAAGTAAGTTAATGCTTGATCTCAAAACTAATCACAGATTTGGTGATAAATCAGCTTGGATCTGGAGAGATTTTTTTACTAACACTCAAAGAGATGCTAAGGGTTATATATATGTCAGGAGCTCCAGTCTCACTCTGATCTCAGTTTAGTACTGTGACCTTGCAGTAATCTGCTGATTTTGCACTGTTCAATCACAGTAATATTGAGCTTGTTTTTCAGTAAAGGGAAAGAATAGGAACATACATACAAACTTAGTTTTCCTTTTTTCCTAAAGCCCATTAAAGGTCACTGATTATCAGGGGAACAAAAAGACATCTACTGAGATCTTAGTCACAGATTTCTCCTCCAAAGCTAGCAGAATGTCAGGAGCTGGAAATTCTCTGACAAGTACCTACAAAGTAAGACTCTTCTTTACCTGTACTCAGTTGCTACTTCAGAAAAATTCTGGGCCTACGTGAAATCATTTTGAAGTCAGTTTGTGTTTGCTCTGCTAATATCTGTCCCTTCTTTTCGTTGCAGGAATCAGCTGTGGAGTGCCTCCACCTTTAGAGAATGGCGGTTATGCTGCTGAGGACTTCTTTGCTGGCAGCACCATTACCTATCAGTGCAACAGTGGCTACTATTTGCTGGGTGACTTTGAGATGTTCTGCAAGGACAATGGGAGCTGGAGCAGCATTTCACCATCATGCCTTGGTGAGACATGCCATACATACTGCTGTGTACAGAGTGCTCTTGGGTTTGGGTGTGATTTCATTGTGAAATTGTGAAAGCTAGGCAGAATCTCAGAAATCACATTCCAAAATACTCACATTTTTGACATCATGTGCTCAACACTGTTTCAAGCCAGGCCTCCAGTCGGGTACCTTTCTTTCTCAATCCTGTTGTAAGTTCCAAACCCTATACTCCATACCTGGTAAGCCTGCATTACACTCCCAGCCTCTCTACTTTCAGATTCTAGTCTTAGAATCCTTGCATTCTCTGCTACTGAACTGTGCATTTCCCTGCTCCTCAGCATGTCTGTCAGCAAGCAGCTGCAGCACTGAACAGACTGAGAATGGACACAGCTCATATAGTTGCCATATCTTAACTTCCTTCCTAGTCAGCTGGGTCTGGTGTACCAGGTGTAGATTTAGGGGCTGAAAGGTGAGAGACCAGCACTCTGCTGCATACACAGGGCTTAAACATATCTTCTTGAAAGGCCATGTCTACAGCAGATCCCCACTGGAATACACTGGCAGGCTGTACTCAAATTGCTGCTGCTTCGCTCATGTCTAATATGGGTTGCAGGATGATAACCTGGCAGTGTTTATGTTTGATTTGACTGGTTGTTTTGTCCAAACATGCAGCTACAAAACGTAGGTGTGGGGTTTTTTTCAGTAAAAAAGAGCAAAAGTCAAGTGAACAGCCTTCTAGTCCTGCCAAAATTCTCTTTGGAGCAGGATCCATCTTGTTTTAAAGCATTTAGTCCTTTGGGACTCTAAGAACCTCCAAACAGACCATCCAGTCTGATGTTCCTCTCTTTAATCAAAGGCATATAAACATGACCAGACTCAGAGTAAATGTTGCATGACTGTCCACATAGTTCAGCATCTCTGCAGTAGGAAGAATGATCTGGGAAAGGAAATTCCCTGTACTTCACCTTCTAGATTGAAGAAAAGGTGTGGAAAATGAAAAGAGTAAAAATTAAATTAAAACCCTGGACCGTCCTTTACTGTTCTTACTCACTCTTAAGGCAGGCACTAACAAAGCCTGACACATAAGCCATACACCTATGCCCTAGGATATTCTTTTGCTCTGTTACGCATGACTCAACTGTCCTTCCAGTCTTTCTTGTCTTAAAAGAAACTACAGGAGGAGCAATCATTCCAGCTCTGCTGTGGTGGTATTTTGCATTCTCCTGATGCTTGTGTAATTGGCAACAGCTTTGATTTTAGTGAACCATTTTCATCCTGCCTGTCAGAAAGAAACTCCCTTTCTTTTCACAGCGCTGTTGGGATCTTTCATGCTGGCAAGACTCCTTCAGCAGTGAGGAGTTAATGCATTGATTCAGATCTTGTTTTTTTAACTGTACGACTTTTTCTTGCCTCAAAGTGGGCAAAGGTCGACATCTATCTTGTAGAAGGATTTTGAAATGAAGAACTGTTCTGTCTCATAGTGCTCTGACTTAACAGGAGGAATAATCTCTGTCACCACGATTTTTCAATGAGATATTTTGAAATTTGTCTCTTGCAATTTATGACCGATTGTTTCACCATGAACACTTCTATTCAGTCAGGATTTGAAATCTCATATGAAGTAATTTGGGCTCAGGGATTTTTTTACTGTACAGTACCATGTGACATGTAGCATAAATTATCATTTGGCATTTCTAGGCACTGTTATCATATAAAATAGTTAATTATAATAACTGATGTATCTTGAACTCGTTTTAACTTTCCTGTCAGCTACAGACACTTCTCATTTCTGATCTAGTGTAAGTCTCATCAGCACAGATGGGTCTTTTCTGATGTTTTATGGTTCAGAATGTTTACCCCATTGACTAAATTTTCCTGTCTTAACATTTGGGAAGTTTAAGGTGTAAAGAATTTCTAAGTGAGTGTTTCATGCAAAAGTGAACCCTTTCAGTGTCTGTCCGAACTAGTAAACAACAACACATGAGCTGCACTGAATGTTCTTTCACTGCTTTGAAACAAAATACTTTTGTGGAAGCACTGATGGAAGATTAACAGGATTTTTTCGTCAGTTTTCTTACATTTTACAATATTTTATAGTAAGTTTCCTAGAAAACATAAATACTAATTTAAAAATGAACCTTTTTGCTAAAGCATCAAAATTGTGACTGAATTAAGCAATTTTTAATTATGCTAATTAAAGCAACTCTTTTTGACAGTGAAACAGAAATTTGAAGCAAATGTGTATTACAAATACCATCCTAAAGACATCTTTATTACTATGTTTCATTTTTGTAGATGTTGATGAATGTGCTGTTGGATCAGACTGTGATGAGCATGCATCCTGTCTCAATACAAATGGATCCTATGTTTGCACCTGCATTCCACCTTACATAGGAGATGGTAAAAAATGTGCAGGTATGGGAAAGAAAAACATCATGCTTGTCTTCCAAAATTCTCTATAGGCCACTGTCTTCAGCTGTGGAAGACAGCTGCCAATAACTGATCGTAGAGAGGTACAAGAGAAGCATGCTCTGTGCATCTAATCACTTTGGCCTGAACAAGGCTGTGATTAAGTGTCTCCATTACTGGTAAAATTGTCATTTTGATTCTGTTACAAGACACATGCCCTCTTGCACATGCAGTACATATGCTGGGGATGGCAGTGTGTGCCGATTTTTGGAATAGAGCTGTATAGTAAAGAAATATTTGCATTTAGGCATTTGAATAGGGGTTGAGCTGTCTGTGGAAACATTAAGTAAGGTGGCTTTGAGTAAAGATGACAACACAGTGGCATTTGCTGGAATAAAAGCTGACTGACTGATCTGATTTCAGATTGAGGACTGAACACACAGGAGTGAGCTTTCTCTCATGGAGGGATAAATGACTGCTAGATTTATTTGATTCTGACAGTGAATGCAAACAGCCAGAATGCTTACACTCAGAGTACTTTATCAAGATTAGCTTACTTGCATGAGCCTTCAGTTTCTGTCACTTAACAGAGAGAACAGGGAAAAGCCAGCAAGCTTGGATTTGGATTGTGGGTGCTTTCCATGTGTTCTGCTTTCTCACCTTTGGAAATTTCCCAGGAATATCTCCTAACACTTTTCATTAAACCTCATACTTAGTGATGTCATTAATAGTTTTCTTTCTTCTTCCTCAGAACCAGTGAAGTGCCGAAATCCAGGAAATCCAGCAAATGGCCATATGTATGGGGACGTGTACAGTGTTGGCAGTCAAGTAACTTTTTCTTGTGAAGAAGGGTTTCAGCTGACTGGAGTGACTAAACTTACATGCATGGAGTCTGGAGAGTGGAGTCACTCAATACCGTATTGTGAAGGTGTAGTTCATGGGGTGACTGTTGATTGTAACGTGCATCAGTGTAGAGATGAAAGGGGGAAGAGTAGTAGCTTAGAGACTTCAGAGACCATGACGCCTAATGAAATTTTTTTTCTAGCAGTCTTGAATCACAAGATTGAAGTTTCTATTGTCTTAAGAGATGTAAGTGCCAACTAAAGTTACTGACAGTTTGCATATTCACAGTGGAATGCTTCTGCAGATCCTCCAAAGTATCAAAGGTGTAGGCTCATCTCATTACCTTTTTCTTAATGTAAGCTTTAAAAATAGCCTCCTGTTTGCAAGCAACTTGTGGGAAAATGATGTCTTAAAAAGTATTAACAGTGTTTCAGTGTAAGAAGCAACAGGCTGGTGCATACAGACATACATGGCACAATTACGAAAACTGTTTTAGAAAACCAGAACTGAGGTGAAGCGACAGTAAAAGGAAGGGGTGGTGAAGAAAAAAAAAGATTTTGTCCTTAGGAGGAGGTGGAGACGAAGTTCTGTGGATGGTAAAGTGTACGGTATGTGGAACAGCTCAGCTACCTATTTCCAGTTAGTCAAATCTCTCCATAAGTTGAATAGAAATAAAGAGCTTTAAGCGTCAGCTACAGCTTATCCAAAAACCCAGTTTCTCTAGGGCATTTAGATCTCTTCAAACCTATTTAGTGAAAATAAATATTCTGGTTTTGTTTTTTTAATTTGTGTTGCATCAACTTCTCTTGCGATCCTATCTTTTTAAAGCTGTATCCTGTGGACGTCCCATTATTCCAGAGAACAGTGCCATTTGGGGCTCAAATTTTACATACCGCAGTAAGGTGACATACAGGTAGGAATTTAATGTTTGATGTCCCATGTTGTTAATGAGCATATAGCAGCAAATCAGAAAGAGCATGTCGGAATTCAGACAGTGTTGAAAATACATGGAGAGGAGTGAGCTGTGTTTTAAGTAAACAAAGGATACTTGGTTATAACTGTGACTGTTCACTAGCAAAGCTGAATGTTTACTTGCATACCAATTTTCTGTGCCGTGATGAGAAAGCTGCTAAATGAGAGTAAATGAGCAATGAAGGCAGGAAAGGGGTGGCCAATTAGAGGCCATAAGAGTTCATAAAAGGCTCTGTGTTTAATAGCAACTCTTTTTTTTCTCATACAGGTGCAAAGATGGTTACAGCATTGTGGGTGAAAAGGAAATTATGTGCCTTGCTAGTGGTGCTTGGAACCATCCTCCCCCCTCCTGTGAAATGGTGACATGTCCTAGCCCACAGGATATTAGCAATGGAAAATACACACTCACTGGCACAACCTACCTTTCATCTGTATCATACAGTTGTGACAATGGATACAGGTAAATGCTGGAATATTTCTGAGACAGATTTTGGCAGCATGCTTCCAAATTTAAAAAATTGCTGAAAGATCTCCTTACATCTGAAATAGACAAGGCTGGGATGATTGCTCAGAAAGTTAAAATACTAAAAGAAAATTTAAGACTTCTATAAAGCTCAGAAGTAGCTCCTGCTTTTCATACTGAATTATGTCTAGATCGTTCAGATTCTGCCACACACGTTTACGTATGCATGTATGCAACACTTTCATTTTACCATTAAGCTCAAATACATATCTTGAATATTTGGAAATCAGTATTTATTATTTTTGGAGGTTCTCATTTGTGTTTAAAGATAATCATTCACCTAATAGGCTTTGGAACATATGCAGTATTATGTTTGGTATAGTTTTAAAGTGCCTTTAGTGAAATAATCTTCTGTTGTTCATTTACTCCTCAAAAGCTCTGCAGTAGTTGTTTATTGTAGTCATCTATTCTGTTTTACATTTGTAATCAAAGACATTGTAAACACATTTCTAATAAACTGCAATTGCAAATGAATACATTCATATTGTATTCAAGGATATGGTGTTAATTGCAAGTTACTGCCTGTCCCTGATATTTGCTTGTATCTAGCAGATGACAAAAACTGGCCTCATATGGACCTCTAGGTCTGATTATTTTTTTGCTTTTTCCTGCTGCAAGCATTCCCCTGTCCAGATGCAGGCAGGTATGTGAGGTACGCTCATCTGCTAAATGTTTAATCCATTCACTCAGTTTTCTGAGTAAACACAGTGGTTTAAATACCTGAGTGGATCAGGTCTTAGTCCAGGGAGTGCTTGCCAGTCTCAAGATAGCCAGAGTGTTGATGGTATACAACTTGATCATTAGAGAAACAGAAATCACACGATCCCAGAACGGCTTGGAATGAACCTTAAAACCCACCCAGCTCCAACCTCTCTGTTGTGGGCAGCGCTGCCTCCTACCAGATCAGGCTGCCCAGGGCCTTGAGTGCCCCCAAGGATGGTGCACTCATAGCTTCTCTGGGCAGCTGTGCCAGAGTGAAAAATTTCCACCTAACATCTAACCTAAATCTCTTCTCTTTTAGTTTAAAAGCATTCTCTCCTGTCCCATCACTATGTAAAATATCAGTCTCTTTCTTGCTGATAAGCCCTCTTATAAGTACTGGGAGGCTGCAGTGAGGTATCTCCACAGCCTTCTCTTCTCCTGGATGAACAAGCCCAGTTCCCTCTCTTCTTATGAAAGGTGCTTTAACCTTAAATAATTGTTTAAACACCCCATGACCCTTTATTGCTCAAAAATGGTCAAAACTACAGCAGAATTTAGTGTGTGTGTAAAAAGTACATTGGGGTCCCAAAATAATTCCAACAGCTTTCTTGTCAAAGCATTCTGAAAAGTAGTTTTCTGATAGCATAAGCATTGTATTTTCATGAATAGAAGGTGAGATACTGAACTCTGCTGAAGTCAAAGTCCCCTTGACTGGGGCCAGAAAATCAGAAGGAAAACACCTCATGCTCTGTTCACACAGCCTGAAGCAGCAGCCTTAATAATGATTTTTGTATCTTAGCCTTCAGGGTCCTGCTGTACTTGTCTGTGCATCTTCAGGGAACTGGAACAGCACACCTCCAGCTTGCAGCATTGTCTCTTGTGGATCTCCTCCTGCCATTAAAGATGCAGTGATAGAAGGAAATAACTTTACTTTTGGAAGCACGGTCTCTTACACGTGCAAAGAAGGGTATGTAGTTTAGTACTACGGGACTGATATTCAGGACAAGTAAAACTGTTGCAGGCCATACAGCTTTTTTCTCTGCTGCTTCACAAGTCCTTTGTAACTGTTCATGAATTACTTTGTCACTGCTTCTGTCTTGCCTCCCTGAGAATTAAATACGATGGAGGCTGTGGGCTGTCAGGTTAGTGTGGGACACCAAGGCATTTCCCAAAGCAGTCAGCTGCACTACAGCTGAATATATCTTGAAAGAGAACAATGGAGAGGATTCAGAGAGTAGGAAAGATGAGTTTCTTGGAGTTAGACCTAGTACTTCTCTGGTAAACTCAAGGCTGTGACCGAAAAGAATTCACTGTCTCATCACACTTAAAAGAGCACTGTTTTGTTTTGAGAAGTAATGCAAGTGTTCTGGTTTTCTAAACTCTGGTTACTTAAAACTGTTTATTGAGGTGCATTATTTTCTTTGATTTCCATCTGTGCAGTGTAGTGACTGTTCAGAGCAAATTTCATGGCTCCGTTTTGATGGTGTAGCATGAATGTAATGCTGGCCTGAGATACTGGAAGAGGCTATGCACATGCATATCTTCACAGCTCATAAGCAGTCCTTTCGAACTTTTTGAAAGTACTCTGTCCAAAAGACAGAGCACAGATGAGGAACTTTCACGAGGTCTGGATCTAAGTGATTTGGAGGATTCTGTGCTTCTTGTTGATAACAAAAAGGCAGATTAATACACCGGCATATTGTTTTTAAACTAGCTTTGCAATATTATTTGTAACGACATTGAAATAAAGTTTCCTGGTTTTTTTTTGATTGCATGAAGATTCAAAAAGCTGCTTCTTTTTTTGTATGCAAGTATTTCTAATGGCATAGGACAAGAGCATTTAAGGAGGGTCATTGCTAACTAAGTGGCAATGAATAAAATCAATAATAATAAACTTTAGCACATAATAGACTCTTTTTCTGAGAACAAACCCTACAAACAAGGCAAAGCACTTTCACAGAAGTTGCTATCAAAATCTGAACAACTGGTTTCCAGCCTGCAGCTGGAAAAAGTTATTGGGACCCTTCCAATAGGTATTGTTTATTTGCTTTTTGTAAGTGACATGACAGAATTTAAAACTGAGCTAAGAGATATCACAGATAACATGTACATGTTTAAACAGCAGCAGCTTGAGCAGATTGACAAGCAGTATGGAATAATGCCTGTTACTGCATCCCAGATACAGAGTAAAGAAATGTAACTGCACTAAGAGTAATCACACTGTAGAACTTCATTGTAAATTACAGTATTAAAAATATTTGCTTCTATATTGCTTTTTACAGTGCAGTTTTAAGATCTTACAAAATCATTACATGCAACACCTTTTCTAGATAGATCGCTAAGGAGCTTCTCATCGTTTGCAAGTGTGAAAATAGATTGATGCAGCTAATACAGGAAACCAGAAGTCTTTTTTGGGGCTTTTCATCTCCATCTGCCTTCAGTTCTGCTAAATGGGAATAATTTCTGGGTGGGTTAGTTTCCTTGAGGAGTGGATAGCCTGTCCCAGTGCGGTATTTGTTCACTTGCAGTAGAAAAGTTTCAGTAAAAATGGAGGTTCGGGAGCAGTAATCAGATGGACAGATAAGAGAGTTGTATTCTGCTCAGGGTGTTCTAGGATATTTGTTATTGTGACATCTCACCCATGGATGAGCTTGGCTTTGCGGTCTTTCATTTGAAGTTGGTGGTAGCTGTTGTAAAGCATCCTATTTGTCTTCTGGAGTGCTAACAAACTATATTATGGGGACTTAAGAAACTGTAGGTGACATTTAACAATGTTTGATTGACTTCCTATATGATTTCTTATCCACAGTTACACTTTAGTTGGTCCTGCAACCATAGAGTGCTTAGCTAGTGGCGAGTGGAGTGTGAGCCACCAGCAGTGCCTGGCAGTGTCCTGTGATGAACCTCCCCATGTGGAAAATGCATCGCCAGAGAACGGCCACCGCCTCTATGGCGATATAGCTTATTACTTCTGCTCGGATGGCTACAGCCTGGCTGATAACTCTCAGCTGCTTTGCAATGCAGAAGGGAAGTGGGTGCCTCCAGAGGGCAAGAAGATGCCTTACTGCGTAGCTGATTTCTGTGAAAAGCCATCCACTGTCTCATACAGCATCCTGGAGTCCATCAGTAAAGCCAGGTTTCCAGCCGGCTCCATTGTGAGCTTCAAATGCATGGAAGGCTTTGTTTTAAATACTTCAGCCAAGATTGAGTGCCTTAGAGGAGGCATCTGGAATCCTTCTCCATTGAGCATCCAGTGCATTCCAGTTCGCTGTGGAGAACCTCCCAGCATTGGCAATGGCTATGCCAGTGGGACCAACTACAGCTTTGGAGCAGTGGTGGCATACAGCTGCAACAAAGGGTTCTACATCAAGGGGGAAAAGAAGCGTACCTGTGAAGCCACTGGCAGCTGGAGTGGCAGTTTGCCCACGTGCCACCCAGTGTCGTGTGGAGAACCACCCCAACTTGAGAATGGCTTTATTAAGGTAAAAAACCTTTTTTCTCATCTGCCTAATAGCATCACAAATTGAATACATCTTCATAACTGATGCTGTTTTTTTCTCAAAGAATTCAATTGATTTCCTCAAGATCTCAGTCTTCGCTTGTTTATGAGTGATTTTCCTAGTCACTCCATCTGGAGATGTATAAAGTACTACTGCCAGTTAATAAGCCTTACTCTTTTTACTGCTGTGAAAAAGAATCTGCTTTGAATTAGATTAATAAGTGTGGGATAATTTCTCTGTGTGCTTTAGATGCTAGCATATTTCCTTGCTGAGGTCAGAAGTTGTCCTTTGCCTATCAAATTGCTTTGCAACAATGCCCAAAGTTAAAAATCTTGTGGAAGCCCAGAGCTGTAACACCTCTTTAATCTGTGTTGTGCTAAGGGTAATACTGTGGTAAGGAAGATCAGAAACATTATTGTAAAATTTAGCTTTGAATTTCTTCAGCATTTTTCACCTGAACATTTATCCTCTTTCTTTAAGTCTAGCCACATGGGAGTGTACGTTTGATAAGAATTGGGGTTTTTTTGCATTCCAATTCCCATATGAACTAGCAGTAATAGCAAAAATTTCTGTTTGGACTTCCACACATACACATTTCTAATTAATGCATATAGTTTGGTCGTGTCTTCCGTAGGCAGGTTTACTCCCCTAGGTGTTCATTCCCATTAAAGCCATTTTTTAATAGCTCTGCAACTTTGATAGACTTCTCTGCTGCCTGCTGAAAACTCTGCAACTACATGTGGGACACTTACAAAAGTCCCCTAGTAGTAGTACATCTCAAGACGCCAGCCTTGGATACACATGTAAGCTAAAGAGCTGTAGCTGCACTAGTCCATTTCCTGGCAGCTTTTCTCAATATATTTCTGTCTTTCAGATTACGTTTCTTTTGGTCTCACTGGTCAGGAGAATGCAGAAGGAAATATTTTCTAGATTTGCTCTCTAAACCTTTAATTTTTTCTTCTCTTTTTGATGGTGCTTTCAGATTTCCTGATAGCAGAGTGCACCATTTGAGGAAAGACTTGCTGTATCTCTTATTCATTTATTTGCAGACAGCCTTGTCTGCTGTCTGGAATTCAGCTAAAAGCTAGATCAAGAGAACAAAAATAATGCCGTCAGACACCCACTGCCCCAGTCTCACATCTTCATTACAGATATGTCCTTGTCTTATCTTTTTTACAGGAAACAACTGGGCACTTCTTTGAAAATCAGGCAGATTATCAGTGCGAGTCCGGCTACCATCTGGTTGGGAGCTCAGTATTTATTTGCCAAGCCAATCGACAGTGGTACAGTGAATCACCTCCTCGCTGTGTTCCTCTCAGCTGTGGAAAACCACCACCCATCCAGCATGGCTACTCCAAGGGAGAAACCTTTGATACAGGTTCCAAAGTTGAGTTTTTCTGTGAAGAGGGCTATGAGCTGATTGGAGACGTTTCTTGGACGTGTCAGAAGTCTGGGAAGTGGAACAAAAAGCAAAGCCCAAAATGTGTGCCAACAAAATGTCCAGAACCACCCTTGGCAGAAAATCAGCTGGTTTTGAGGGAAATGACTTATCAAGTTGGTGTTGTACAGTTCTCCTGCAAAGAAGGTTATGTCTTGCATGGCTCCTCTGTACTGAAATGTCTGCCCTCTCAACAGTGGAATGATTCCTTTCCCTTCTGCAAAGTTGTACAGTGTCCTGCGCCTCCATATGTCCCCTTCAGTGACACCTTGACTTCATCCCTTTATTTTGGTAGCACTGTGAAGTACATCTGCGTAGATGGGTTTTTACTGAAGGGTGAGCCAACTATCAGATGCCAGGCTGATGGCTCATGGAGCTTGCCACTGCCAGAGTGTATTCCTGTGGAGTGCCCCCAGCCAGAAGAAATTCAGAATGGCATTGTTGATGTGCAGGGCCTCACCTTCCTCAGCACAGCCCTCTATACATGTAAACCAGGTTTTGAATTGGTGGGGAACACAACTATTCTCTGCGGAGAAGATGGGCAGTGGCTTGGAGGAAGACCAATTTGCAAACCTATTGAATGCCCACGGCCAAAGAAGATCCTCAATGGCAGATACTCATTCACAAACTTCCATTATGGGCAGACAGTTAAGTATTCCTGTGACAGAGGTTTCCAGCTCCAAGGAGAGGAAACACTAAGCTGTCTAGAGACAGGAGAGTGGAGTACAGATGTTCCCTCCTGCAAAGCCATAAATTGCCAGCCCCCTCAGCCTATTGAGAATGGTTTTGTGGAGGGTGCAGATTATAGCTACGGGGCCATGGTTATTTACAGCTGTGTGCCAGGCTTCCAGTTGTCTGGCCTTGCCATGCAGACCTGTGAAGAATCAGGCTGGTCCAGCTCCACTCCTACATGCCTCCCAACAGACTGTGGCCTGCCTCCTCACATTGACTTTGGGGAGTACATGCAGGTTAGACATTGGGAAAAGTATTCCAACACAGAGAGTGTGACAGAGAGCCCCTCCCTTTCACGTACATTACTGGGTGACAATTTGAAGAACTTCAAAAGTTCTTCAAAGGAGAACAGTGCAATGCAGCTGACCACTTTCTTATTTGGAACTATTATTTTATACACGTGTTACTCTGGCTATGAGCTCATGGGAAATCCTGTTCTAGCTTGCCAAGAAGATGGTGCCTGGAATGGCACTGCCCCCTCCTGCGTTTCAATCGAGTGCACCTTGCTGTCACCACCAGATAATGGATTTTTACATTTTACTGAGAACACTCCTGGTAGCATGGTGCAGTATACCTGTAAGCAGGGGTTCACTCTTATTGGCTCTGACACACGACTGTGTTTACAGAATCGGCAGTGGAGTGACACTGCTCCACAATGCAAAGCGATAACATGCAGCTCACCTACACAGCTTATGAATGGGAATGTAAGAGGAGAAAACTACACTTATGGGAGTGTTGTCTACTATGAATGTGATCCTGGCTACCAGTTAAATGGCCCCACAGAGAGGAGATGTCTCGAGAACCAGAAGTGGGATGGTAGTGAACCAATTTGCGTCCCTGCTTCCTGCAGCCCACCAATGGTTTTGGAGAATGGTCAGGTGACTGGGGAGGAATACACATTCCAGAAGCATATAGAGTATAGCTGCAATGAAGGTTTTGTGTTAGATGGGGACAGAAGTAGAGTCTGCCTTACAAATGGAAGCTGGAGTGGAATTACTCCAGTTTGCAAGGCTGTGACCTGCCCTGTGCCACTGCCTCTTCCCAACGGGAGAATGAGTGGCTCAGATTTTGGATTTAGGAAAGAAGTGCAGTATCAGTGCAATGAAGGATATAATCTGCAAGGAGTGTCCACACTTACCTGTCAAAGTGATGGTAACTGGGATTCAGAAGCTCCACACTGTGAGCCAGTCATTTGTGGACCTCCTGAAGACATCTCCCATGGCTTTCTGAATGGCTCGGACTTTACCTATGGGGAATATGCACAGTATGTGTGCTTTCCTGGCTATGAGCTGCATGGTAATCCTTTACGGCAGTGCTTGTCCAATGGCTCCTGGAGTGGAAGCCTTCCATCTTGCCTCCCCTGCGAGTGTCCTGCACCACAGGTTCAGAATGGGGTTGTTCTCGGTGAAGATTTCAGCTGTGGGAAAAGTGTCCAGCTTCAATGCCTGGAGGGCTTCAAACTGCTAGGGCCTTCTGAAATCACCTGTGAGACAGCTGGCAGGTGGAGTGCTGGGTTTCCTCGCTGCGGGCAGATTTCCTGTGGCTCCCCACCCATCATCCCCAACACGTTCATCAACGGGAGCAGCTCTGCAGATGAGAACACTGTCATATATACCTGCTTGACAGGTTTTGTCATGCGGGGGAGTCCAGAACTAACTTGTGTGGAGACAGGTGTCTGGAAAAAGCCATATCCAAGCTGTGAGCTGCTAAGCTGTGGCCCACCACCTTCTGTCCCAAATGCAGAGGTTCTTGGGAGTGCTCATACCTATGGGAGCAAGGTCCAGTACAGGTAAGAACACTGTTGCTGTGATATTTCTGTAAAAGCATTCTGTTAAAGAATGAAGATGGAAGCTTATGCACCCTCAGTTAGTCAAAGTTTTTAGAGGACCTGGAATGAAGTGTATGCTTTATCATTGTGTAAATAGGCAAAGCCCACATCTCCATGCACATACAAAATATTACTTGGACCACAGAGAAAACTCCAGCAGAGTATTTCAGCAAGGTATTTCTTCTGCCCTGGAGCCTTCTTCCTCTCCTCTGAAACACTGTTCTGCAGGTGTAGTTTTTCTAGCAGGTAGCACGAACAGTCAGCAAGGCACAAAATTCCCTTTTTGGCACCCCATTTACTAATTCTTCCTGCTTCAGTTTCATGTTGTAACAATACAGAGAGGCTTATCCCCTGTAATCTCATCTAATACACTGCAACACTGCACTGTCAATAAGTGCTTCTGATGCACACTCTTTTTCACGGACAAGAAAAAGGGATCTCTGTTAGTTTCTTGGAATGTGCACACTGCAAATCTCATTCTCCAATAAGAACTTCAAGTTGCAGTTGGACTTGATGATCTTTAAGGTCTTTTCCAACCTAAGCAATTCCTTGGCAGAAAGGTATATGTTGTTTTGGAAGTAAAAGCAATAAATGGTAGAGGACAGACCTGTGAGGGTAGCGTGTAGGTGAATCTAGCAGAATCAGTCATTCCCCTACATTTTTAACAAGGTGAAGGGGATGTGTTTGTTTGCTTACAAGTAAATCCACTGCTGGCCAGATCCTGCAGGCCAGTTGATTTGATCTTAGTGAAGCACTGTGTGGCACAGAACAAATCAGCCTTGAACTTCTAAGCAAGCAACATACGGTAAGCCTAAGGCTTGGTTTGTCCTTATAAGATAGTAAGATCAGCTTTAGAATTGCTGGAAGTTTCAGATCGGGTATTCAGCAATTGGCAATTGAGAAGCTATAAGAGGTCTTGTCATTCTATCATTATTTAACCAAAAGCCCTCCTTGCAAAGGAAAGGGCAGTAAAGGATCTGCACTGAAGCACTGAATATTCTCAAAGCACTAAACTCACTAACTCATTTTCCCTTGTGGTGCTGCAGCAACAGGAAGCAGTTGAAGTCTGAAACTTCTGGCTATGGCAACTGAATACTTTTGATACAAGCATGATTCTAGCAGGGTGTGCTTATGAACAGCTAATGCTGAGAAATGATAGTCTTTGTAATGAGCAGATCAGTTCATCCCTAGATGTATCTTTGTGGTCAGGTGTTTATGCTCTTGTTGCAGATGCCTGGAGGGTTACACATTGGTGACAGAGGTGGATGTATGCACTTGTCAGGAAGATGGACAGTGGTCTCCTCAAAGTATTTCCTGTTGCCCCAGAAAGTGTTCTCTCCCAGGAAATATCACCCATGTCATAGTACATGGGGACAACTTCACTGTGAGCACAAACATCACTTTGTCATGTGTAGAAGGCTACACTCTGGTGGGAGCAAGCACATCCACATGCAAGGTATACTGTTATCTGCACTGTTTTATTTTGCAGTCTCTTTCAAATTCAGGAGTCCTCTTTTTTTGCCTAGTTAGCTTTTGGCTTTTAAATGTGCACAACAAAAAAAGTGTAAAGCATGTCCTGCAAAATGTGGTATGCCTTCTTGTTCTCCAGTAGGAACAATTAACAGTTTTCTTCACGTAGATTTTCAGAACTGGTAATTGACATTTTATTCTTTTGTCAAAAACTAACGCTGTCCTTTTAAAAGCATTCATTTTATCACACTTCAGAGATTAAGTCAGGTACTTCTCACAGGATTAGTACTTCTTGCTAGAGAAGGACTGCTCTTATTTTGCCCTTACAAAGATCAATTGAAGTAGGGTTTAAATGTGCTTGATGATTTTCTGTTCAGGTAACAGGCTGCCTTCAGAGGACAGGGGTGGGCAGCTGAAGCACTTAGTCATGATATTAAATTTTCAGGCAGGAGAAAAGTACAGAACATGAAATTGGGCAGTTCTCATTTTTCTTGTGTTGTGTTCTATGAGCTGTTAGGTGACCTTGTACAAAGGAACTTGCTTTTGAAGGTTCTTTCTCCATTAATACTTTGTTCTTCCCTTGCTGTCCAAGCTAAGCACTTCTTTCAAAGCTAAATTCCAGCCTTTGTTGACTCTCTAGAGATGTTACTTACATTGCTGAGTTTTGTTAAGGATTTCACAGATAGCATTACATTAACCACGTCTGTAAGCCCACAGCTATTGGATGTTTCTGCTATGACTTCTCTACATTTTTCATTTAAGTACAAACTTAGCATGCAGAATGATGCTTCACACTTTTTTTATCACGCTTATTTTTCAGGAAAGTGGCGTTTGGATGCCAGAGTTTTCTGATGACATTTGCATTCCTGTGTCATGTGGGATCCCAGAATCTCCAGAGCATGGATTTGTGGTTGGCACCAAATTCAATTATAAAGAAGTGGTTCTTTATAAATGTGATTCTGGCTATGAATTACAAGTAAGCAAACTCATTCCCTGGCACTCTAAACTTTTAGTTGTCTTTTCCTGTTCTTATGTGATGACAGAGAATATATTATGCCTGCTCTGCATTAGTGCATACCCTTGGCTGCTACAGAAGTTCAGTATCTGCTTTTATTACTGTATATAGAATGCTCCCAGTCTGTCTGGGGTATTTTTTCGGTGTGTTAATGAAATAACTGAAGCAAATACAAACATCCTGCGCAAGGATATGTATTCAGCGAATGCCTTTCAGCATTATTTTTTCAGTGAAGATTATTTCAGCCTTCTGAAATCATATTACTTAATTTTTTTTTATTACTTCTGTGAGCAATGATACATACTTCTGGTCTTAAGTCACAGAAGAATTGATTTCTCACATGTTGCTCTTGTACTAGCTCTCTGATCTCAGATCATATTCTTCCCTCAATTTCACATCATTCCAAGTACTGTGAGTTCAAAAGTCAAAGCTCGTGAGAAATGCTACTGCCCTCAGTTCTGTGATATTGCTAGATGGTGTACAAATTATTTCTTTTTCTCTTTCCTTTTTATGAGACAGACTGCAGTTTGTTTAATGGCAGCTGTATGCACTCGTGGAGGTGGGAACACCTCCATGTTGTTTTTATTATGAGCACTGTTACCTCTGGCTGAGTTCTGGAGCACCTCTGATGTCGAGTTATCAGGATGCATGCTAACCACGTTAGAGTTCCATCAGGTGTTTTCAAAAGCTGCAGTGAATTCATAAGTTGGTCTCTGAGGCACAGCATGGCTATAATGAGCCCCAGGGGATGCCAGTATACAGGACACTCAGCAAGGGGTCCTCAGGACAGAGGCTGTCTCTCCCTTCTATGTTCCATGTATACAAGCAAAATCCAGTGTCACGCTTCTACTGCAGTAACACCAATGATAAATGTAAACTTTATGTACTTGGTCACTCAGTATTTATAAAAAGGAGAGTTTAGAGAGTGCACAGGTAACGACAAATCTCATTTGCATTGTATTGCCACGTGTAATAACACTAGGGATGAAGGGTTGAGTTGATATTTAGATAGATAGAGTTGCTGTTAAACGTGGTTTTTGGTGTTAAGAGGCCAGCTTTTGTATAGTAAAAAATTGATCCATGCTTTATACACCAGCTTTGCCACCTAGTGTCAATTTGTTCTCCTGTATTTTTATATTTTTCCTCTAGAAAGTTCAGCCCACTCCATATAGTGCCATACAGCACTTATTCCAGACAGCTGCCCTTCTCATTGGGCTTGATTTGTAATTAGAGCGTATTAATTCAAGGGAGAATTTTGGATGTTCTTCAAGTTTTGGATTAAAATAAGAAATTAGTAAAATATGCACATGAGAAAGAAATAATATTGTTTATTACCAAATTTAAAGCAGGAGTGCTTGGGACATGATGAAAGTCTGTGTAGTGTGTTTACAAACCGTAGGCTTGAATTGTTGTTGAAAAGAATGCAAGTTTAATTTTCACTAAGTGGGTACTGGAAGGAGTCGTGCCATGGTAACACATTCCTGGGACAAAGAATGGCAAAACTGACAAAAGCAATGGTACTCCAGGGAGACAGACAAGGGAAATGACTAACTAACCTCAAGCAATTGGTCTGCAAACAATAATCTGCACTTTCCCACTCTGCTTGGGCTGTAGCATTCAGCTCCCTGTTTATGTGGGTTGCACATAGAGGGAAAGTTCAGTGGGCTTGCTGGATTAGAGTTAAAGGGAGAAAAAAGGTGAAATTGTTTTTTGAGTATTGTCTCTTGTTTCACAGGGTGATACAGAACGGACTTGCCAAGAAGACAAGCTTTGGAGTGGCTCAGTGCCAACATGCAGAAGTATGTTCCATATGAGTTTCTCACTTGATGAATGTGGTCAGGGGTGGTTTTAACCAGAAAACACAGTGTTTTGTAACTGATTTATAACTCACAGTGTCTTCGTATGTCTAAAACATTTTGGTAAATAACACAGATTGCACCCCGGGAGATGTCCAGAATTACTGCTGTATACAGGTAACAGCGTGAAGGAAATCACTACACCTTCCCACCTCTGTGCCCCTGTGCCCCTAAGGAAGCTGGGCAAACGAGTTCCACAGCAGCTGATGTTGAATACTTCCACTTTTGTATGCTTTACTTCAGACATAGGGCTCTGTGCCCAACGGAGCTTTTGACATCCTTTCTGCTGTTTTGTCTTTGTGCATCTTCTGATAAGTCGAAGGAAAATTATTAATGATGTATTGCATTAACTTCATGCTTAAATAAGATGAGAACAGTAGAATTTTTCTGCAACTTTGAACAAAGAGTATCAGTAACAAATTGGGAGGGCTGTATTCCTTTATGAGATTATTGATACAAGAAATAACTGTCGCGTTGCAGATTATTCTCTGTTTTGGAAGGGCGGTGTCTGAAATCTAAGCAGTGCCACTTTGAGATCATGGTTTCTGGGATTTCTAAGGTTCTTTGACCACCTTAGTTACGAACAGCTGCAGATATAATTCTATGGATACTGGTTTTCAAGGGTACTTGGATTCTGCGAGATGGCTGATTCCCTCTGACTGCAGTGCCAAAACAGAAGTTGTCTACATAAACACTTCATGGTGTTCAGCTGTTGACTTTAGGTGTCAACTGTGTAATTTCTCAACTGTGTGGCTTCCTGCCAGTACAGCCACAATTGATTTTGTCTTTCAGCAGTAATCAGGAGCACGAAGCATGACTCTGCTACTGTTCTGCTACTCAGCAGCAAATATCTAGGAATGCCCTTACAATCACTGTGCTATTCTTTCCCTGTTTCTCACAGTGAAAACACTGGAGAAGCTGTGAGCAGGACAGGCTGTATGCTGTGTGCACTATATCTGGAGCATATTCCCTTAAATTACAGGAGTATCTTGTGGGCCCCCAGAGATGATCGAAAATGGATCTGTTCAAGGAGAAGAGTTCCTGTTTGGCAGTGAGGCTTTTTACAGCTGTGACCCTGGTTTTGAACTACAGGGACCAAGCCGAAGAATTTGCCACGTTGACAAGAAGTGGAGCCCCACTGCTCCTTTCTGTAGGAGTAAGTAGCAAAGCAGAGCAACATGTTGGCAGTTCTCCCAGTGGAGCTAACTGGCAGAGTGCTTTGGTTGGCTTCCACCTGGTCTCCCTGTCCAGCTGGAGGGCTCTAACTGAAGGAGCTAGAGGGAAAGCTAGCTAAAGAGCTCTCGTTGACAGTCTCTCTCAGGCCTAAAGGGAACTCATTTTAGCATATTAAAGCAGCACAAGCATAATTCTATGCTCAGGTTGCTGGAGGAGGAATGTTACATTTTATTTGCCTTACATTAAGATGTGCAAGGCCTTGATCATGACAGGCTGTGGAGGTTTGACTCTGCAGTGCAAAGGCTGATATATCCTGGAACCTTTGCATGTCTGGAGATCAAGAGTTTTCTTCTTAGGAAAAAATCTTGGTTCTGGGCAGCAGTAGACAATTAATTGTACAAGCATGGAAGGAAAGATTTAAGACTTATTTCATACAAGTTGTAAATAATATGGCCAGGCTTTATTATCTCTACCAATAAGTTATTTTCCATCTTCTTGAGGTGACGTCCTATCACTTGGATTCTTCCCTCTTAGCTTTGATGAGTGCCTAGTCTCCACTTTGCGACCAGTACAAGGGCGCACAGTCTTTTGTAACTGCTCTCATTTTTGTTGGAGACATCCTGAGACCATCTTCTACTGTATACGGATCAGGGGAGCCTGAAAATGCAGCCTCTGGTTTGCTCACAAGAAATATTCTGTATCGCCATCTGGTTGAATGCATCTCATGACTTACATCATGACCATCTTACTGTCAGATGCATTAGGACAGGCTCTCTCTCTGGAGTCTGCAGCTTGAATCCCAGGAGAGAGGGCAGTTGTAAAACCCTTCTCCATACTGTGTTTCCCAACCTCTTCCCATCTTTCCATTAATTCCATCTGTGAATAGAGCTGTTAGACAGGGTGTACAAGCTGGGCAGAATGAACTTTTTGGTTTGTACAATACCAAAAGCTTTCCTTCTTTTCTAGGAATTACTTGCGGGCTGCATCCCACAGTAGAAAAAGCAGAGGCCATTTCTACAGGAAACACGTACAGAAGTAATGTAACCTTTGTGTGCAGCTCTGGCTACCATCTTGTTGGACCCCAGAATATCACATGTCTTGCCAATGGGAGCTGGAGTAAGCCATTACCACTGTGTGAAGGTAAACATTTTTGTAGCCTGGCATGTAGCCTGTAGATTTTGTAGCCTGGCGTGCACTAATTTGGAGTAAGGAGTAGCTTCCCTGATATGCTGGTGTATCACATGGTCCAGGGAGTGAGCTGTTTTTTGGAAGCAGTTCAGTGATATGTATTGAAAATGGTGCCTGAAAAAATGATATGTGTCAAAAGGAACAGTATCTGTTACTAAATCAGGAGATGTAGACATCATTTTTCCGTAGCTCTTATTCTGCAACTTTATAATCTTAGTGAAAGATGGCATTGTTTACAGTCTCAGAAAATCAAAGCATTAACGAAAGACAATGGACTCAGAAATGTGGGTCTTCTCTCAGCAACTTCTGAAGTCAGTTGCCACGTTGACATTATTTCTCTGAATTTTGAGCCCAAATTCAGCAACAGGATTGTGTTAAGGTCAGTATCAGCAGCTCAGCCTTTGGCCTTCACAATCCTCCTTTGAACAAATACTGTGAATGCCTGACATACCAGTCTGCATGCTGGTGCTTTCTGATGCTTCCACAGTAGGCCCTGTTGCAAGAAATACCTGTGTTATGGATTGGGCAGCCACTACTGAGTGGTTAAGAACTAGGCTTTAAACACAAAAACAAAAAGAAGTGAGGTTCTAAATGTGAAGAGATAGTATTGTTGGATGACATTGTTCAAAATATAAAGTGTATAGAAATATAGTGAATTCCAATATAATTTACTTGTAAGTATGAGTTTTGTCCTTTCCTGGCCTTTTAGCCGTGAATGATAGTCTGTGCTTCTCGCTTTTCCTTTAATGGACCAACTTGTCCATTTTTTTTCCACTGCACTCTTTTTCAGGCTGTTCATGTCCCTGCTGCACATGCTCTTGGTCTCCCAGGATAGACTCTAACATTCTGCTTGCTTGCCTTAGTTTCCTTCGGCATTCTCCCGTGGAGCTGACTTTTGATCTCTCCACAACCAGCTGTTCACACAGATTCTAAAGGGACCAACATGCATGTGACAGCTTCACCCAAGTAAGACAAATAATGATCTTCCGCTGAAGGCAGGTGTTAGGTTCTTGTCACCAGAGCTACGAAAACTGTGAGAGGGATCATCAGATGCTGTGCTGGGTGGTCACACAGTACACAGCTCACTGTGCATTGCAGTTCTCCAGTGCTTTGCATACCTTATAGGAGCAATCTGCAAAGTTGACAGGGGAAATCCTCATCAAAGAGGAGATCACAAATACTGTAGGAGGCATCTAAGAGAAGCCACCAACTAGCAGTGTTGAAATAAGCGTGATGTCAAGAAAGACCCACTTGAACAAGGTTGAGTACAACTACTTCCTCCTACCTTTTCTATTCCTGTTGCCTGACTACCATGTGTCTGCCTTTGTTAGTTTAATCTTAAGTCATCCTATTATTCTGACCACTCAGGAAAACTGAATGGTAAATGGGACATGAAGAGAGTCTGTTGTGTAGCAGCAGTAACCCAACCTGGGCTGACTGCCTGCTGGTTTCAGAAACATAGCTGAGAATCTTGAATGGGACAATTAGTAGTTTAAGCATCAGCATCTTGCACCATCCTGCATTTCACCTGGTATTTCTTGTCTATCAAAATGGAAGTTGCAAAGGACTGCAAATTTCTGAGGTATTTCTTAGCAGTGAGAAAGAACCATTCTCATGTTCTGCCCTTTTTACCCAAGTACAAGGTCATAAACGTATCCTCCCCAGCACTGCCAAATTTTCTTGACCTGATAAACATGTGGCTGTAGCATTTATCTGTCACAGGGAGGAGCTCCTTTCCTAGCTTCTGTGCAAGTCTGTACTGTGTCTGCTAAACTCTTTTGGTGATTTTCTTGACTTATTGGTCTGTGGCTGCTACTTTAAACATACTGTATGAGCAGCTCAGGAATTGTTGCAAGTCCAAGTTTAATATCAAGCTGCATTAATGACATCTCGTTCTTTGCAGAGACCAGATGCAAAGCTCCACTTTCTTTGTTGAATGGCAAGGCAATTTATGAAAATAATACAGTTGGCAGTACTATAGCATATTTCTGCAAGAGCGGATACAGTTTGGAAGGAGAACCTACAGCGGAGTGCACAAGGGATGGAAGATGGAGTAATCCTCTGCCTCTCTGTAAACGTGTGTGTTTGCTTTGTTATGAAAAAGGGGTTTTAACTTGGAAGCATTAAAGACTAGATTACTCTTAGTTTATAATGGTAGTAATTGAGAGCAACTTCTGCAGATATTGGTAGAGATATACTGTAATTTTCTTTCGGGGTGGTCAAGAGCAGAATTTGTTATTCATAGTTGAAAAAATTGTTTAAACTAGGTTTGTAAATTTGCTGGTGTGCATCGTGTTTTTATGCAGGAACAAAGGAAGCAGTTACTGACATAGGCCAAAGCATTGTCTTGTCTGAGTGTATTTGCATGACAGTAAAAGAACAAGCTGTGTTCAGTGTAATTCCTTTTATTTGGAATGCTGTTAGTGAATGGAGTCGGTTAGAGTCAGCAACTTGATTCATGAGGAGCAGGTGAGAGAAAAGTGCTTGTTCAGCCTTTGGAAGAGAAGGCAATGGAGACCTCCTTATCTTCCTTTAACTATAGGAAATGCTGAAATAAAGAAGAGCCAAACTTCTGTCAGAGGTTTGTAGTAGTAGATTGAGAGACAGTGAATCCAAGTTGCAACAGAGGAAGATCCAATTGAAGGAAGTTCCAATTGAGTATTTGAAGAAACTGAAATGGGACCAGAGAGGATGTGAAATATATTTAAAAATATATTTAAAAATACTCGTATTTCAGCTGTTCAAGGCCAACCTTGTTGGTCCTGCTTCAAGAAGGTTGGACTAAATGTCTATATAAATTTTCTGTCATTTTATGAAATACCACCTTATAAACATGTCCACTGTGCACGCCTTTAATAGCCATCCCTGTTGTTGTAACTACCTTCGAGATCTTCTGTTGTCTTAGGGTAGTAATTGAGGTATTGTAGGTTTTGTACAGCAGCTGGCTCACAGGATATTTGTTTTATGAAGCTGGATTAATCTCTGATGTATATGAAGTCCAGCCTTTTCCATGCTCATGGTGAGATCAGTAGACCATACAAAAATAGCTCAGTAAGTTTACAGCCAGTAGAAAGTAAGATTATTATAGAATTTTTAAACTCTAATGTCTGTGCTGAGGGATCTGGATTTCATGCTGCTCTGTATTGATCCAGGCCCAAAGATCAAGGAATTGAATGAGTCTGGCTCTTTTTATTGAATTTTTGGCAGTAGGGTTATGACAAGCAGGAAGGAAAGAAAGAATGGTGTGATTGTAAAATGTAAGATACTTTTCACTTACATCTTCCAAGATTTCATTAGAGTATGGTAGCAAGCTTTATGACTGAAGAGAATAAAAACTTTAATCATTATTTTATAACCCAAATCTCATAATTTTACAGCAAATTAAAAATGTGACTTTTGATGAGCATCCATTTCTATGATTTGAAGTTGAAATTTGCAGAAATTCTTCTAAAGTTCCGTTCCTCTCTTTCTCCCTTTTCCTCTTCCCTCATTCCCTTTCTTTCAACAGCAAACCCTTGTCCTGTGCCTTTCATAATCCCAGAGAATGCCCTTCTCTCCGAGGTGGATTTTTACGTTGGGCAGAATGTGTCCATCAGGTGCAGGGAAGGCTATCAGTTGAAAGGGCAGGCTGTGATCACTTGTAATGCTGATGAGACTTGGACTCCTACAACAGCTAAGTGTGAAAGTAAGTAAGGTACAGTACAATACAGTAAGTACAGATCCCTGCAGTTCCATAGGGCTGTTGACAGTGTCTGTATCAAACAGCAAGAACGTGTTAGCATAGCACTCTGTATAGCTGCAGTTATTCAGAATGGAGGGATCTTTTATCTGCATATGGAGAGCTAGTTTGCTTCTAGAGACCCTGGCACATAGGAACAACCGAAGAAGCTCTACGAAAGAGCTTGTTTTTCCTTCTAACAGTTATTTCAGAGTATGTTTATGAGTTGATGGCCACTCGTACTCTTGTCTGTTCGGCTCTAGCTGTTGTTTTCTTCTCAATTTACTTTTTGCAAGCACGGCAGCCAGATTTGCTTGTTGAATGCCCTGAGAATGCCTGTGAGATTATGGTGAAGAAATGGCTATAGGGAAAAACAGACTTTTATTGTATTTATTGACACTGTTGGAAAATCCTTTTTTTCAGAAGATGACTGGAAGATTTTTGGTTTCTTGCAAAAAGTATTGGCTCGTGCAGTACCATCACCCTGCAGACTCAACCTCATGTATATCATGAGACCATCTCATAGTTTCTGCTGTATATGGTTGATTGCTGTGTTACTTAAAACTGCTGTTGCTGGTCATCTCCTTGTGCCCTGCTGTTCATGTGTCACAGGTTTGCCCTGAGTGTGCACACTATGAAGCGCCACTTATTGCATTCTTACCAGAGGTGTCTCAACATCTCCTGAGTCCTATGGATGAAGCACTGGAAATATCATGCAGGCATTGTAGTTCACCAGACTCTGTGTGATTTCTTTTATTTAGAGATATCTTGCGGGCCCCCAGCTCACATAGAGAATGCTTTCATCCGTGGTAGCTTCTATCAGTATGGAGATATGATCACCTACTCATGTTACAGTGGTTACATGCTGGAGGGACCCCTGCGGAGCATTTGCTTAGAAAACGGAACATGGACAACACCACCTACCTGCAAAGGTAAGTCTTTTTTTATGGCAGAAGTATGTTTTTTATTTAAATGTTATTAACTATGAAGGAGTCATTGTAGTTGCAGTAGAAATAAAAGCCAAATTTTTGCTCATTTCAGTGCAGCTGTGATTTCACCCAGGGCATTTTAAGTGCAGAGCATTGCTTTATTTCCACATGAAAGAGAGGACTTCCCCAGTTTTTCTCTATAGTCCTGGGTATCCCTATGGTGTTGTAACCATCACCTTTGATCCTTTCCCTCACATCTTTTGCGAGAAAGTGGCAGAACCCGTCATGTTGCTGACATGCTGAACTGCTTCAAATAAGTACTGCTAGTTGTTTTTTCACAGCCAAAGATGAAGTATTGCAGAAAACGATAGTAAGAGATGCTTAGCCTTTCACTGTGTTTAGAGCTTGGCAGTTCCTGAAAATTCTTTTACAGTAAAGTACTTAAGGATGAGTTGATACAGCTCATTAAGTAGTGCACACCAGGTGCAGAAAATCTGTGATTTTAACAAAATACTAAAGATAGTCTTAACTTTCTACCTTTGACATGCCAGAATGAAGATGACACTTTTGATATATTGACTAAAAAAAACAGTAACAGAAGATTCATATAAATAACCAATTTTGAAGAGAAAAATGGAGGAAACGAACAAAAAAAGATGACAAACTAAACAATATATTCGAATGCTTTCTCGAAAACAAGAGTAAGGCACAGCAAAAGAGTTCCAAGGTCATAGAGCTTTCATTTGAAAAACATTGCCTTGTGCCATTTCCTCTCTCACTCCTGCTACCAGATCAATCTGTAGCTGTGTAACTTAGCTGCATTCTGAAGTTTTATCTCAAATGTTGTAATAGCCACTATAAACTGAGTCTCGTACTTCTCTTCAGAAATGTATTAAAAGCAAAAACCTTAGGGCACATCATTGGCTCATAAACTGTGACATTCCCAGAGTTTGAGAATTCCTGCAGAAGAGGAGAGGTGCCAGAACAGTGACCTGGGAACATTGGAGCCATAATCAAAGTTGTCAGATCTGCCTCTGCTCTTGCAAGTGTCTTAGCAACCAACGTCTAAAATAGAAGTAGCAGTACACCCTCCCTCCATTGCAACCACTCTGTTTAGATGAGAAACCCCTTGGAGCTGGAGGTTTCTATACAGACTAATCAGGGTCCCTTTGTCAGTGTTTTTGGTTTGAATTCTGCCATCGAAACGTTGAGTAGACCTGGCTAATCTGAATTACCTTACTACTTGAAAGCAGACATTCTTATAAAATTCCGGATCCAGTAGTTAAAATTGCCTTGCCTAAAAGTCACAGGTCAGCAGATTGTTTTAAGGAGACGCAGAGGCTGAGAAGTGGAGTTTTGACTTGTGAACATTTCAGGGACAGTGAAGCTGCCCCTGAAAACTGTGTTTTTCCTGGTTGTATGATAATGGCTTGGCACTGCCCTGAAAAATCAGCTGTTAAGCAGGCCAGAGGAGGACATCCATAGTAGAAGCAGCTAAGTTATTTCAGATGTTCATAGGCATCTAAAATTTCTTTTGGAAATGTACACTTATGAACTACAGAGCTCTTTCTGAAAAGCTTACCAAGTAGCTTATTATTTCTTTCTGAGCTATGGTGGCTGTAGAATTCAAGGGATCTCAGCACAAAATCCATTCTTCGTAAGCTAGATATTTAGCAAAACTTTGTGATACTGTCTCCATGTTGTAACACTGCATTCTTCAACTGCCTCTTTGGTATCATCAGTTTTATTTCTTATTCTTACTGTGACAGAACAGTACCTTAGAACACTTGTGCACAGGATTGTAGTCATCTGCTGAAAGAATTTCTTGACATTGGTAGCTAAAAAGCTGGAAGGGATGATATGCAAAGAACTGTCAAATATGTTTCCTTTTTCCAACATTCTGTTTCCAAGAATACTGAATCCTTGAGGCTGTTTGGAGGAGTAAGTGTTGGGGTTAATTATTCTGAAATGCAAAATGATTAAGTGGACAGATGGTCAGAGAGTAGTGTAACAAAGTGGAAAAACCTGTCTTTGGTATGCTAGGAGTAAGAACAATTTTCCCCCTTCCTTTCACCCAAAAACTGAACTAGAAAGGACCAAAGATTCTTCTGGGAGGACTGACATGTTTTTGTGACACATGTCAAAATAATCTTTCAGAACTGCTTTATAATTCATTTGAGGGATTTACCTAACAAAAGGGCTACAGGACCCAAGCCTTTGTGGTCTACATCAGAAGCAACATGAAAGCACTCTTTGCACTGACTCATGCTGCACTTATTGTTTTTGGCTCTGTGAGTTGATTACTAATGTGTCCTGAGCCTGCTAGAAACATTCTGACCCGGTTGAACGGGTTAGTTAATGTAAACATTGTAATTAAAAAGCAGATTTCATTGGCTTCTATGGGAGAGCTGCAACCACAGCTGCACTTGCCTGAGTCACTACTGGCTAAAGATTGTGGGCCAGATTCTGATCTGAGTTTCAGGGGTTAGAGGTATTAGGCTGGATCTGCCAAATGTAAATACCTGTGGGACTCAGCAGACTGCACAGATTCACACAGCTTGTCTAACTCCTATCTCTCCTCTCTGAAATGCTCTGAAATCTGTCATGTATTTGGTCTCTGGCAGCTTCACACTGAATGGGAGAGGTTTCTGCTGTGGAGGTGTTAACCAAAAAATTGATGCCCAGCTAGTGAACAAGCTTTCTGAGGGACAGCAGAGGCATTGGGAAATTGTTCACTTCTACTACAGGGAGGTTTTTGGCAGAGTTCAGAACAAACACCAGGAATCTTTTCTTACCTTTGCTTGCCTCTATTTGTATTGCAGAAGTGTTACCATTTCTGTGGAGGTAAATATAAAGTATGGGTTTATAAGGGGTCTCAAAAACAAAGACTGGTACTGTGGGTGTGAGATCTGATACCAGTAACTGATGTTTCAGTTAATAATTCCTATTATTTCTCCAGCAGATCAGGACTGAATTGTCCTGCTTGCTTTCACTGTAGCTAAAAAGTGAATGAGATCCCAGCTTAGTTCACCGCCCCAAGCCTTTCTCTACTATTGTCTGCTGAATGAAAAATAATCCTCACAGCTACAAACATAGTCTCTCCCTATGTAAACTGATGTATAACAAGTGCACACCTAGGGATGGTACAGTCTTAGTTATTCAGTATTTCACAACCAGGGCAGAAAGCCAGGAAAAGCATACCTCTGACTGAGATCCCAAACTGCTGAGCGGGATGGAGCTGCTGTCCAAAGCAACTTCAGTAACTAATGAAATATCCACATCTTCTCCATCAACAGAGTGAGAGAGAATAAACTGTAGAAAACGTTTTTCTTGGGCTTTGAATTTGACTTGGCTTATAATTTATATACAAGCCTTTTATTTACCATCCTGTTATACAATAAAGGAATATCTTTTTGATGGAGTGGACCACAGACAATTTCAAAACTTTAAATGTATTTTTTTTCAACTTACGTAACTTTTCATTGCACAATAGAAATGTATTAGGCACACTATTCACTTTAGCCCACACCAGAGATAAGCCATCTATGTATTCGTAGATATCTTTACAGTAAAAATTGTTCAGAATACCTTTTTAAAATATTGCAATGTCTGTGAACTCTTCCCAGTTGCATTATCAGCTGACATTTAATGGGAAGGCTCTGACGTTATATAAAAAGGCAAAAGCTTTGGCCTCATTTCAATGGGTTGCAAGCTGTAACTTGTAGCATGGCATAGCTTGGTTGCATGAGTGAGTCAAGTCCAGCTCAATCAGTGAAAGATCTGCATTCTTTTCAGTGTGGAACTTGGGTCTGAACTAGTGTGCTAAGCCACTGTATTTAATACTAGCATTGAACAAGATATGAAATACTTTCAAAGCCTAAACGCTTATTTTGCTCACCTAGAAAATAATTAAAGATAGGATGCAATTAACAGTTCAGACTGAGTTTCCTGAGGTTATTTTGCATTCACGACTACCACTAATCAGAAGTTTGTCTGATTACTTATTTGTCCTGCAGTAGCATCTGGAAGCCATGTGTTGTTTTTTTTATCATATATGCATAGCATGTACACAAACACGAGAAAGGTTTTACTTGCTTCAATGATCTTTAAGCCTAAAATGTTTATACTTTGCTTGCCACTCAGTTTTATAAAATAGTCCTGGTTTCCTTGGCTGTATTAGCCAAGATAAAATACAGTGTAATTCAAATAAGTGCATAGTCCGTTGAGTTCAGGCAACATGCTGGAGTAGCATGGTAGAAAGCACTTCAGGTTCCTCACTTTTATGAGCAAGTGTTTATTAAGAGGTATGTGAACCATGGAGCACCAGTCAACATGAAAGCTGGGGGAAGTTTATAATCATACCTTGAGTTTCATAGGTAAGCACTTCACTGTGCCCATGCTACGCCCTTGTAGAGCTCTGCTCATTGCTGTGGATGGCAGTGCAATAAAAATTCCTTCTCCTACCACACTATCCTATCGTACTATCAGCAAACCCTGTGTAAGGCCAGACAACATAACTTTGTTTCAACTCAAGGTTAGCAGAAAGCTTGATTTTATTGAGAAGAAAAAAGTGGGTAATAGATTTTGTGTGTTCATTTTAGGGGGAAAAAAAAAAGAGAGAGAGAATAAACAGGTAAAGCATAACATCAGCCTTTAAACATTGTCCAGGTAATTTACCAGACTGTCCTGAAAATTTAACATTTTTCTTTCTCGTTGTTGCTCGAGGATGTTTTTGTTTGTCTTAGCAGTTTACAGTAAGAACACATGAAAGCATTATGTTTTCTCTCCTCGGTGCTCTCAATCACTGTACCTAGTAACTTGCACACAGCTAGAAAAGAATGTAGACATTGAAGTCAAAACCAAGTTAAGCTTGTGAGTTTTGTTATGTTTTATGTTCCAGTTAACCTTCTTGTGTTGGTCATGAAATTGTTCTGTTTCCAGCTGTCTGTCGGTTCCCATGTCAGAATGGTGGAGTCTGTGAGCGACCAAATGCCTGCTCCTGTCCAGATGGCTGGATGGGTCGTCTCTGTGAAGAGCGTATGTATATCATCCTTCATGTGTTATTTATCAAGATGTTGTAGGTAGGACAAGTGAATTTTCTGCAGTGAACTCAGTGCGAAAATTAAACGTGTAAGAGCCAAAAAATGTAAAAATCACAGCTTTATTCTGCTTGACAAATTAGAATAGAAACAACAAAGCAATTGCTTGTTTGTAGACAAAGGGCTGTCCTTTGATACCCCCAAACAAAATACTTTTTTAATTGATGCAGTGGTGTCTTTTCCTGTCCTGGATCCCTGTATAATTGGAGAACTGGATCTGTTCTGATTGTGAGCAACGAAATACAACTTTTGAGCCCGTCGGAAATTTTCTGGGTGATGCTGGAGGTGCTGGGTTTTGCCATACTTCCCATTTCCTCGGCAGTGGTCTTAACATGAGGAATTGGTGAGATCTGAACCCTTCATGCTGGCAGTACCACCATAGTGCATACTCAGCTCTCTGTGTTTAATATTTTCAGCTGGAGGGGATTGAGCCCTGTGCCTGGCAGAATTTTGTTTGGTATGCCACGATTGATTTCCTTAGCATAACATTAGTAACAATACTTAATGTGTTGTTCATGACCAAAAGACAATTTTTATGCCCCTAGACATTTCAATCTGTCATCCCAGTTCTGACCTTGTTTTCCTGTATAAGGAAAATGAGCAGACAGCTGACGAGCTAGATTACAGTTCATGCAGACACAGGCATTGGCTTTTTTTTTTTTTTTTCTCTTTACTTTGACATAGGCAGTGAGAAGCAAGGTAAAAGCTCCCCACAGTTAATGCCACCTTGATTCTGCAGTGTTGCTTGTCCGTCAAGGCACATCCAGGAGTAGAAGAGATAGGTTTAGTCTTTGGTTCTGAGAGCCTCTTCTTTTGAGTGATAGCATTGAGCACTGATTTGTCAGGGCAAGGGCCACAGGTGAGGCTGCAGAGCTTTGAAAGAATTCAGTCATACATACAGAGGTATATTCCACAGATAACAGGATGGGTACATCATCCTTAGAAAAGCCTGATCACCTCAAAAATGTGCAGAGTACCACTACTTTGGTAATACAGATAAATCTTGGTGATACGGATTAATCCTGTGAACTCCTAGAATTTCACTGTTCCTTTCTTATCCACACTGACTGCACCTGCTCAACTTGATCTCTGTAGAGGACGATCCCGACCTCCCAAACTAAAACTCTCCTAGAAGTGCCTCTCATGGGTCCAAATTTGAGAGCTGCCTCAAAAAAAAAAAAGGTTTTTGCACAATCACTCCATTCAGTTAGAGCAGAGCAAATGGTAGTTTCAGGAAGGTTCTTAGATCGCCAGCAGCCGGCACGCTGGACCACTTGCAGATCTGCTCACAGGAGCAGCTTAGGTTGATTGATCATATGCCATCAACTACTTGGTATCATGCAGCAGTTCTCTGGTTTCTCTTTTCCCCAGAGCTTTCAGCCACAATCAGTGTGTTGCACCCAAAACGCCTTGCATTGCTGGAGCTGTCTGTCGCTGGGAGGCCTGCGATGTTGTGCATCTCATTGCGTTTTCACTGGTCCAGACCAGTCCTTTCCTATGAGCAGTACATAGTTTTCTTGTTTTGGATCCTACACAGTGGGACCCAAGGAATCCAGAAATAATCCAGTTGCTTGTGACTAAAGCATGTTGATTTTGATAGCTGCCCTTCCAGAAGTGAGCATTGTCTAGGGATATTACAGGTGAGAAGCAAGCAAACAGCCTGTGCTCCTTTGCAGTGAGTGCAGAGACCACAAGTGTCTGAAGTACTCCAGAAATCACTTCATTAATGGGTTGTCATCATTCCTTCTCTTTTCTGGCCACCAAGTCAGTGGTATTTGCCGCACATGCCTTCTGGGTAGATCATTCTCAACTCCATTTATACTGTATGCAAACACTTTGAGGAACAGTACAGTCTCTAGTTAAATGTAAGGGATTTTTTTGTACACCTTCCTCTTCATTTGCAGAGGTGATTATTATTTGTACTGGTTCTCTTCCCTTCTTCTTAGCAATATGCATTTTGCCGTGTCTCAACGGAGGTCGCTGTGTGGCTCCTTACCAGTGTGACTGCCCCCCTGGATGGACTGGATCACGGTGCCATACAGGTAAAACTCCTTTTACGTGCATTCTTTTTCTTTTGGGACCCCGCTAGCAGTACCTAGCACAATTCACTAAGGACGATGTAGCAACTACCACACTTTTCAGAGGAAAACCCAGCCCTACAATAAAATTCCCAGAGCATTTGTTGTACCCAGGTGCAAATTTTTTTCAGAGTAGTTCCTGAGGATCTTAATAATCCTCAGAGAAATGTAGTCCCAGAAAAAACAAACAGCCTTCAGAAGAGGGCTGTCTGCAAAAGCCACTAGGGGGGGAGAGAATTTCCAAGGAGAATAAAGCTGGGCTGTCCACTCCAGAAGTAGTTACAGTTTCACTTTCAGCTTCAACACATTCAGTTCAGTGTCAAACTCAGAAGCAAGCTGCAGGTTCCTGTGAGGTTTTTCACCACCTCGCTGCCTGCTGTGGGGGATTCCCCCTTGGTGTCTTGGTGCCTCATAGCAAAGGTAGAGATGACAGAGGAAAGCAAGGATGTGTTTAAGGATGGTTAAATTTAATGGGTGTATGGATGGCTTATGTATCTCGTCTTAAGTTCTCTGAACAGACACAATATGCATGATAGATCTGTTCCTTGTACCTGAGTTTCAGCAGCATGCAGCACAGCAAGGTAGCCAGGAGAATGATTCTGAGGTGCCAGACCTGTATCCTGTGTTAGATGAAGCTGGTTTACAATGAGGAGTAATACTTAAACCCAGGTTTGGGGTTCTTGGTTTCGATACAAGGCTGAACAAAAGGCAGCTTTTCAAAGCCTTGTCACAGTGCAAATAACCAATAAAACTTGAAGTGATTGGGTGACCACTAAAAAGTCTTTCAATCATTACTGAATCTCAATCATTAATAAATGTTAGCTTCTTTTTAAGAAAAAAAAAAAATCTTAGATTTTGTTTACTGTACTTTTGTTGTTCAGGTGCAACTTAATTGAGTGTTAATAGGGCTTAACATGAAAGCATGTGTTTGCCTTCCTGCAGGTCTTTTGTGTGGCTGATTGGGTAAACTGCAGGAGAAATTTGTGCTGTTCATGAGTATTCATTTTATATTGCTCAACAAGTCAAAAATCCCGAGTGACCTTTTTAACTCTCAACTACTGTTTTTTGAAGCAACACTTGCCTAGCATATAATGCAGAATTTCACAAACTGTGCACCTGCAACAGCATAGGTAGTTGAGAACAGATGGCTTACTTATTGATGGGCCAGCAATTCAAATCAGTTCAGGCTGAGTTGCTTTTCAAGTAGTTCAAGTAAAAAATCTAGTGGTCAACTGCATCTGTGCCAAAACCCATTCAAAAAAATACGTAAGTACTATCTGTAAAGTTACTCAGTCAGTTGAGGTTTTACTTCCTGGTCACAATATTCTGTTTTGTCAGCTGACAAAACAAAACAAAACAAAGTGAAATGGGAAATACTTGGATTAACTGCTAGTCACAGCAATAATTATGCACATAAAGTGAGAGGTAAGGACATTTCATTCATATTTTTCATTCCAGAATCAGAAGTAATTTTCAACATGACAAACCCAGTACACTTAATTGCACGAGGGCAGTCCATCTCTATAACCTCCTGCCATTGTTTGTGTTTTGGCCAAGAGGAATCAGAGTAGAATACTTCCATTGCCTTTACACATTCCTGTGACTGCACATTTCCATTTCCAGTAATCAGTGCTTCCAGCAATTAATACTTTTTGCAAAAATATTACTCAAAAATTGTCTTTCCTGGTGTCTGTCCCCTTAATATAGCACCCTCTGCTAAAAATATTTCATGTTTTTTAGCGTCCTGTTATTATAAATGTCTGTGCTTGAAGTGAGTCAATGAACTCGAAGTTAGCTTATCAAGTGAGTCTGTTCTGTAAATTCTGTGTTGCTTTATCTCCTAATTCACACAAAAGCAGGTGCAACTGTTTCTCAGCCAACCCTTACCGGCTGAGGCTGGCAGTAGTTCTCTGGTTCAAATGCACCAAAACATTGAGCCACACCTTTAGGGATACCAGGTCCTTTCAGGAACTTGCTGTCATTCCCTGCTTCCTTTCCTTGTGCCCACATTAGTTCTGTTGTGTTAAGTCTTGCCTGCTGTTGATGTGTAAATGGCTTCTTGACTTATAACTCTCTTTTCTGCCTCTTTCTGGACTTTTTACCAGTTTTTTGTCTTGTTTCTGCTTGTTCTGGCTGCTGTTCAGCCATCACATTCCTTTCGAATAAACATCCACATTTTCTTCCCAGAAATGAAGCCTATTCTTCATTGATATTATAATTCTTCTTGTCTAATTTCTCCCTCTGCTTCTGCTTGTATCCTTTTTCTGCCTCAATTCAAGGCAAAAAAAGAACATAATTTTTAAGGCAACGTAAAATAATACACTGACTCTTCTATGCAGCTCATACACTACAGCAAACAGTAGAGAGGTTGGAATCACATTTAGCAGACATGAGCTTCTAAGATTGCCCTTTCCAGAGCAAACCTTCTTTTACAAGAAACTCAAAGCTGTAGTACATTCAATGCTGTAGTTTCGAGAGCAGTCCTTTTGTAATGGATTAACAGGCTGGACTTTCAGCATGCTGTTCCTTAACAGCTGGGAATGGGTTTACTCATTAACACAGTATGTGTGTGCATTTGTACACAGCTGTTTGCCAGTCACCGTGCTTAAATGGTGGGAAGTGCATACGACCAAATCGATGTTACTGTCCTTCATCGTGGACTGGACATGATTGTTCAAGGTAAGCGATGCTGAGTGCTGTCCAATGACTAACCTTAGTGGCTTGCTGCTGAACAGCATCCCTGAAGAACTGTGATTAATTCTGCAGAAGAGCATCTCTAGATCCTGTAAATCAGTAGTCACCAGGCAACTCATAATTTATGGACAATCTAGAAAGACCTTAGTACTCTGTCAGATGGGTACCAAATGTATAGAAATTCCAGGAAGTGGTACATCTATGCATGAACAGATAGGCAAACCTGCAAGGTTTTGCCTTAGTGCTAATGCTGTAGGTGTAGGTGTTTGTTGTGGTACAGTATAGAACATTTTCTGTATTTTGAACAGTGTATACTTCAGCTGGGTTCATGTTCGAGATGCAGGTAATGCAATAGAAGCTGTAAATAATAGGGTTTTTTTACAACTGGTGTTGGGTAATATTATTTAGAGTGAAAAATGGTGCCTCTTAGTCAGGTCACACTTCAGATTGCCTGACAGTGTCATCACCATGCAAGGCAGCATTTAGAAGTCTTAAAGTTTGTTTTTTAAAGCTAAGTTGGGAAGTTCTGATTATGTGGAAGTCTGAGCAGGAGCCAGTTTGTGGAAAGCTGCCTTGTTCCATGCTGCTGCTGAGAGCCATTTACAGCCCTGAACATGGAAAGCAGGCAGAATTGTGATAATGTTGTGGTCAGAAATCAGATGTAATAGTAAAACAGGCAGCATGAGTTATCCTGCTCCCCATATGGAATATTAATGAGGGCCATGAAACACATACCAGCAAAAACACTTGTACCTCAGCTCCTCAGGAACCATGACAGCCTCTGAAGATATCTGGCTGCTACTTACAATCTTATTCTGAATGCATTGGTCATTCTCCTGGAAAGCTAAACAAATACCAGCTGAATACCAGATTTTCCTTCTTTTCTCTGAAATATGGGCAAATCCAATGCCACTGTTTTACTTTTTTACTCTTTTTTTTCTGGATGGATATAGATGGAGATTTCTGTCTGTCTCTCTGATACATACATCTTAAAGCTCCAGAGAAGATGCCTTTTGCAAAACCACGTTGTCTAAAATGAATAGTTTTCATTTGTAATTATGTTTACCTAAGTGAAACAGCCTATATGTCTCTATATGAAAATGGTGGCATTAATCTGAAAGTTAAAGTCTGATAATATTGTAATTTAGGATATGAAGCAGAAAAGTCCAAGTCCACTGGATTTATCAGCCAAAAAAATCTGGAATTTATCTCTGAGGCAAAGCAGATTTTCAGGCTTTTAGCAAACTGGACTTTTATTGGTTTTGTGGTTTTTTTTTTAACTTATCCACAGCTTTGTGCAGCTGACTGTGAGATAAGGTGGACCATTGGTCCTGTGGGCTAGTGGTCCAGCAACACATCCCATCAAGGGCTGTTTGAGAGGAATCTTCCTACACAGAGCTGAGGGGAGATGACAGAAACAGGCAGTGAGATCTCTTTGTATTTTGTTAAATATTGGCCTCACCCTGGTGGCTCTTTACAGTGCATAATACAGTGCTGAGGATTCAAAAACAATACAGGCAAGACAGGAGTGAGTGTCATGATAGCAAAGATTTGCTGTTGCAGGTTAGGTAGGCATGATTTATAAGGGGAAGTTGGAAGGGCTAAAAGCTTTTATCAGCATCCAGGTCTAGATTAGCTCCAAAGTCTGTGATGAGTCACATTTTGCATTAGACATCAGCTTGCTTGCTCTTTTCCCCTCTCAGTGTGCTGTCATGAGCTTGGTGCTCTAACCCCAGTACAATCTCGGTCGTCTTCTCCATGTTCCTCACTGTTGATCTTGCCCTGAATTTTCACCGCTGCACTGATTTTATTCTGTTTCTTATATGTGGTGGTGTTGTTTGTGTTTTATTGACACAGAAAACGGAAGGCTGGATTCTACCACTTTTAACAGCAGAGCGACAGTTTTACAGTCAGAAAACTTTCTTCAGCCTACACACCAGGGCTTGGAATCTAACGCATTGTAAATCACATCCATTACTTCCCTTTCCCCCAGCTCCTTTGTTTTGTATTTTATTTTGTGATATATTTTTTCTATACCTTTCAGTTTTTAAAGAAAATGTCTGTATTTTCCATTTACAAAAGTATTATCAAATATATGCTGCTATACACACACCATACACATACAAAGGTGAAGATCCCTACTGTTTACTGAGAAAGTGGCTGTGTACGGTGATGTCCCTCCCAGTTCTTAGACCCAGTAAGGTAATTAAAACATGCTATACTGCCAACCATGATTAAACAGAATGTTGCAATTCTGCTTATCATCTGCCAAAGCATATTGAAATCCAGCAATTTAATAGTAAAGAATAATTATGTAAAGCTAATTGAGCCACCGAACTTTGCGTTGGGCTTGTATCTGAACTCATGGTGGTATAAATTAGAACTGCACCTGATAAAGAGCAAATTGTAGTTAGAGCTCCTGGTGGACGCAAGCAGATTCTTTAATGTTCATTATGTGACACTAACATCATTGGAAAGTGACTTAAATGGAAGGCAGTGGCAAGAAGTTTGGCCATAAATAAAATACTCAAAAGCGTGAAAGAGCTGAGAAAATGTCTAGGCAATAACAGCCTCTGAGGATTTTTGGCATGCAGGCATTTCAGGTGTCACGCTCAGTCTGGATAATCCAGAATGCAGCAGCGGACAGCACAGACCACTGAAAGCTTCCCCCTGGTAATGGAGCTCACCACTACTTGCCTGCAACCAGTAGCCCTTTCCTGTGTGATGATGAAATACACATTCAACATCCTCCTGCCAGGCAAATGTTTTGATACATGGGGTCTGGGTCTCTGTGTGTGTGTACAGGTCAAGCTTTGCTGTTTGCTTACAGAAGAGTGATATTTATACAGAACCCTCAGGGGACTGGAAAAGGCCTCTCTTGTGTACACGCACAGGCAGAAATACCTAGATGAGTAAGAAATACGGAGAGCACACATTCTGTCAGATTTCTCTTTTGCACCCTGTTGATCCCACCGCATCCAAGAATCACAGCTTGAGTGCTGTCATTCAGTCGTGCTCTAATGAACTGAGATGCCAAGATCTACTGATGGGTAAGTGGTGAGGTGGAATTACAAGGTGGAAATCCCATGCATGTGTTGAGGTCAAATGTTTGATAATTATCATCAGATAGTAATGAAGTCTAGTCTGTGAAAGAAGATATTAGAGTGAGAACCATTGATCAGGAGCTCCATTTTTCCCAGTAGCAGCAGAAAAGCATGACTGTCAGCCCACACTAGGAAAGAAGAAAGACTGAGTTCTACACTCTGCAGTATTACTGCATAGTTACCCTCTGGGTTATGAGTGTGCACACACTGCCCCCACCTCCCCCCTTCCCTCTTTATAAATATATCTTTTTGAATGCATGATAGAACACAACAAGGAGCTAATGGAGAGACTAGGGCGCTAGTGAAGACTGACACATAGCTAATGGCTGTTAACCCAAGACCAGAAATGGGGAAGAAACAAGTGAAGCTGTGAACCAGGAAGAGCTGGAAGAAAAACAAATAAGTGAAGAATATTTGTCAAGGGACAAGCTGAATTTGAATGCAGATTCCTTCCCAATGGGAGCTGCAACCAACTGAAGAGTTGTTCTTTCAACTCCCTTAACTATATTTTTCTGATGGATTCTGCTGACATGTACCAACAGCCATCAGTGTTTACAGCTTTGGTTCAAGTTATTGTTCAGTAAATAATACCACATTTCAACCCACGCCATGTGGAGGTACTTTGTTCCCTGAGCCCTGCTGCTGTGCACAGTGGCTGCACGGATGCTGTAGTGAGCAGCTCAGGATATCTGAAGGGAAAGAGCGCATCGGAGAAAGAAGTAGATTTTTATTTATATGTCATTCTCGTGTTTTAAAAAGTAGTCCCATTTTCAGTGTGCTTCTCTGGTACATGCCCTCACCGCCCTGGCAATCTCCAGAGCAGAGCAGCAGTGTTTTGGAAGGTGCACAGGGCTGGCAGGACTCTGTTGAGCCTTGGAGGTGAGGGGTGGCTTTTAGCACTGCAGCTTCACACTAGTGACTAGTACATGGAGTTTGGGGATATACTCAGTCAATACGTTTCATAAGCTGATGTGGTAGGAAGAGTAGCTGAAACTATAGGCTGTTATATTAGTGCTGTGTATGATGCTTTGATACTTGCTGTAATATTTTCCCTTTTCCCTTCCCCATTCTGTGCAGTATTGTCATTTATGTCACTGCTTGTTGTGTGTTTTAAAGGACTTCTGTGTGATGCACTTTACACTGTAAATAAAGTTGCACCCTGTTTAGTACATAGATAGAGGCAACATTGCTTTTATTTTTTCATTTTTTTTTCTAATCACTGAAGTGCCTACCTACCCCTTGGGGTCTGCTGGTGGAGCATGCATGTTAGGGAGATGGGGCTCCACTCAGGGGAAGAGATGAAATAATTGGCAGTAATCTCAGAAGAATGTGCTGCTGCGTTATTCCACATCCTCAGATAAAAATGCTGTAAGCACTTCATTTTTCAGATTCCTTCTGCCGTTAGAATGCATTTTGAAACCTGTAATGGCCAAATTTATCCTTGGCTTAAACAGATGCATTGACACCTACCACATGCACAGCTTTCTTGAGATGGAACTTGTTTTATTCTGCACCAGGACTAGAATTTTTAAAGCTATGGAGTTTTCTGTACTCAGAGGCAGTAGGGGTTAAAAATGTAGCATGACAAAGAAAACTGACTCAAATACCACCCTTCCAAGAAGGAGCATGTATAACAAAGCAGTCAAAAGATGGAGGGTGTGGGCTTTTTCAGGGAATGGTAGTAAGCCTTTCTGTTTTTCAACATACTGGCTTAAGTGGAGATCTCAGAATGCCAAAGCCATGTTTGAAAGCCTTCCCCTAAGCAGCAGCCCAGAAGATGGCATGAGGTTGCAGAGTGCTGCTAGTGAAGCCCTGAAATTTGATGTGTGTCTGATAGAAAAGAGGCAAATTTGCATGCAGCAATATTCATCCATATACTGTTCATAATAGTGACAACAGGCTGTCGCTGCACGTGGTCTCCATCCTGAGAATACAGAGGGCACCCCTACTGGAAAGGAAGAGTGGTAGGAGTGGGTCTCTTTCTCTGCCGTGAGACTGAAGCTACACTGCTGAAGGGAGTGTGCTGATGGTGGATCCGTCCTGATCCCAGGAGTAAAGTGGGAAAGGTGCTGTCATTGCCTCTGGTCCCACAGGGATCCTTGAATGCCAGCAGATGTTGCTGTGAGGAGCTGTGCTGTCACCTGAAGACTGGTTCAAGCAGTGGTCTCTCTGCAGCTTGGTACTGGAACAGCTTGAGCACCTTGGGCTCATCCTACAGCGGCTCATATCCTCACTGCAGAGAGATCCCTGCTGCTATTACCGCACTGCAGATGCTTTTCTGGGAGAGCAGACCCTGGCTGTGAGTTCCCAGCAGCAAGAGCAAGGTGCTGCTGTACCCAGAGGCATATGTGGAAGATGCAGCACTGCTATTGATCTCTTTCCTGCGGTCACGCATGGAGAGCAGAGGACTTCACATGTCTATCCCATTTACCACAACCTCCTCTCCAAGGACTGCGTTTCTGTTACCCTAGCTGACATGCTGAAAGGGCCTGCAATCATCATGGTGCTTACAGCTCTCAGTTCAGGCCAGGCCTGCCGGCAAGCAGCATCACTGCCTCATCCTGACACAGCCTGTGCATGAGGTCTGCTGGGAAGCCTTAGAGCTCTTGCCTGCTATGGCAGCTGCGTCACTGCACCTGAGCCAGGTCAGCTCTTCCAGAGACGAAGCACAACAGCTAAAAGCATGCAAGAGTTAAGCTTGTATTTATGGAGCATGGGTTAAAGCAGAGGAGAGAACACAGCCTTGTCAAAACCCACTTCACAGCCTGGTGGGGACACAAATGTAAAAGGACACAATAGAAACACAGAATCACAGAACCACAGAATGGTTGGGTTGGAAGGGACCTCAGAGCCCCCCAAGCTCCTGCCATGGGAGCGCTGCCGCCCAGCAGGTCAGGTTGGAACAGAGCCCATCCAACCTAGCCTGCACTGCCTGCAGGAATGGGCACCCACAGCTTCTCTGGGCAGCTGTGCCACGGCCTCAACCGCCCTCTGAGTGAAAAATTTCTTTCTAACATCTCACCCAAGTTTCCACTTGTTAGTTTAAAGCCACTCCCCCTTGTCCTGTTATTATCAAACTGAGTACAAAGTTGTTTTCCCTCCTGCTTGTAAGTTTCCCTCGAATAATGGAAGGCTACAATGAGTTCTCCCCAGAGCTTTCTCCAAGCTAAACAAGCCCAGATCCCTCAACTTTTCTTCACAGGAGAAGTGCTCCAGCCTTTTCAACATCACCTGGGAAACCAGGGGCAGCCAAATGGGTACAGTAAGAATGGAAACATCAATGCAGTTACCATGCTACAAGAACTTCCATGTAGAAAGCTGTTGTAAAGCCATTAAGGGTGCTTAAACGTGGCTAAAAAGAATTTAAGCATTTTTCCAGACTGGAGCTTTCATCTTGGGATTGCAGTAAGCATAAAGAGCTGCAGATGAGCAATGTCTACCTAGAGCCTGGCTTGCCATAAGGATGGAGGCGTTGTGTAAAGCCAGCTGCCTGGTCAGGTATTGCAAGTCTTGGTGTCTGGTCTGGTTTTTTTAAATAACTTGGTTAATAGTCTGGGATGAGGGATAAACAGCTCATTAATTAAGTCTGCTACTAATGAGCAGGGAGGTGCTGCGAGTACCTGTAGGAGCAAATTACACAAAGAGAGTAATCACATTCAGGGGAAATGACATGAAATTAAAGATAGGAAGGACAAGTGGGTGCTTCCCAAGCAAAAATCCTGCAGTGACAGTGCCCCCAGGGAGGGAGGGAAAGGGCACAGAATACCCTGGCCACTGCCACTGCCACTGCCACACACACCAATGCAAACTGAGGGCCAGGGTCCTGAGATAGCAGGGCTACCAAGGAAGATAAGCACAGCTAATGGAGCAGGCCAGGCTTTTCTGTGGTTCTGTGATTCCCTCAACTCTGTTTTCAAAAAGCTCCTGCTTTTTTTCTGGGCTACTCTGGGGTGTTAATGAGAAGATGTGAAAACAATGGAGGGAAAGAATGCAGACAGTCCGCCTAGGGACACCTGGCTCAGGCCCCACTGACACTGAAACTTTGAGAAGAATCAAACACACAGAGGACGGGAAATGGGAGCTGTGCACCTCCACCTGCATTTCTAGGGCAATAACTGCACCTTACGAAGATGAGAACAGAAAGGCCATGAAGCCCTGGATGAATCTCATGACCTCCCCAAAAGCTATGCCCATGCTCCACCGTGTTGGTGTTGCAGCACCTTGCATCAGCCCGTTGCTGGCAGCTTTGGGCAGGCGCTGGTGACACCACATCCCCAGGGCAGCAGGCATAAATACCCTGTGTCCCCAGAGAGGAGAGGACAAAATGGAGACAGTGAGACTGGGCTGGTTGCAATGCCCAGAATGGAGTTCCTAGGAGCTTTGCTGGGTAAGACGCTGCTCTGGGAGCCGTTCCCAAAGGGCTTTGGGAACTGAGGTGGTTTTGCATTCTGCTGCTGGTTCTTCTGTAGGACAGGCTGCTCTCCACGCACTCGCTGCTCTTCCTCCTAGTTATGCTCTGGGGCAAAGGAGCTATTCTGTACAGTGAGAAAAGCAATGCACACTGCTGCAGCCTGTCCAGCAGAGCCAGGGGAGGACAGTCCAGCTTCCCTGTGCTGTGCTGCAAAGGAAACTCATCAGAAGCCACCTCGCACCTTGTGCCAGGAATGGAAAGGCAAGATATGTGTTTGCTGCCTCCTTCCTCATTCACACATGCGGTTGCAGGAAGGGCCTGGATTTGTTCCTGTTTGCTTTAATCGTAATTGCATGGAAACATGGGAAGGGGCGGGGAGGCAGGGTGGCACTCCTCCTGGGACCCCAATCTGGTTGGGGGTTCTGGGGACGCAGCACTCTTGGGGCCCCTCGCAGTTGTGAACCATCAGCACTGAATGCAATGAGTAACCCACTTGAGCCATGCTTTGGGGAGCCTCTGGGAGATGCTGGGAAGCCTTGGAAGCTCTGAGCCAAGCAGAAAATAAACAGGAAGAGCTTACTTTTTTTTTTTAATTGAATTTCTTTATGGAAATTGCACTTGCTACAAGCAGCAGCAAACTGGCCTCATCTTGGCACACTCATTACCCCTAGAACAGCACAGGAAGTGCAGCTTTAGGGGCCCCAAACTAGGAGCACCACTTGCTTGTTCCCTTCCTGTGGTCGTACTCTATGCTACTCATGATTTGCAAAATGAATTTGCATGAAGGTGCAGGTTGCAAACACACTCTCCCCGTGTTTCCCTTACACCTGCCTGGGGGAGGGTGAGCAGCTGGGATAGGAAGCAGTGTTCTTAGTCCCACTCTCACAGAAAATCTCTGATTGAGAGGCAGAGATTGAAGATTGGGCAGTGCTCCCCAGTGCAGGAATCTTGTGGCCATGTCCAAGTTGCATTGGGCAGCTGCCTGCAAGAGCTCCTCAGAAGCTCTCAGCTGAGTTTCCAACTGCTGATTGTGAGGCAAAAAAGCAAAAAAGCAAAGCATTGGATGTGATGCATCTGATAAATAACCCTGTGCCTCATTTTAAAAATCTGTTTGCATCACACTGCATTTTGTTTTAGAGCCACTCATCCTTGTGAAGAAATGCTTTTGAAATGCCAAGAAAATCCACCTCCTCTGCTGCCTGGGCCTCTGATTCCAGCAAGCTGCTGCTGCTGCTCATCAACACTGTGCTGTTGATGAGATTTTTGGAAAACATTACAATGCATGCTTCACAGTTAAAGCAACATTCACAATTAAAGCAGCATTCACAGAGCTGTGTGCTTGAACTGAGATCCACAAGCAGAAGCCCCCTTTGTGCTCAGCAACCCTCTGCAGAGGGCTCTGTTTATTTAGGAGGCACATTCTGAACCTGCAGCAGGCACAGATCAGCCTCTGCTTTCTGAGACACTGACCAGAAGTAAGAAAAACTGCAGAGGCTTATTTAAACCTGGCAACAAGGATTTAATATGAGCAAAAGGCTCTGCTCAGAAGCATGCACAGTAGGAGCACACACACTTGTCCAAAACCTGTTCAGCTATAGTAATAAACCCAGAGATTCTCAGAACTTGTTGTTCCGCACATAAAGGCACTGCTTCGTTGTTTTGTGCCTATAAAGCAGGGTAAGATGACCCAGGCTTACAAAGGAATTTGGCACTGAGGGATGATAGCTGTATTATTGCGCTGGCTGGAAACATTCAGATAACTGC